TCCGTTAGGAGACACGGTCTCTGGTGCCATTAAAAAAAAAAAAACTGAAGCACTCCAACACGCTTGCACCTCTGCGTGTGTATTATTCTTTAGTTATGAAAAAACATGAAGAACCACCATCTTGTGCTACTTACTTGGTGTGCTTAGGGGTTATTAAAAAAATTAAGAAAAAAAAACAGGAAAGGAGATATAGTTTACATACACAATGTGCTGCTTTGAGAGTGTGACCCTGGTGTTTGAACTTGCACTTATTTTACTTCAGTAGAGCGTGTACATGAGGGTTAATTACTAAGAGGGGAGCACCTGTTCACTAAAGAATAAAAATGGGCACCTGTGTCAGACATTTCTAAATTATAACCAAGAACTTACTGCCGCCCACAGAGCAAAAAGTGTACAATAACTGCACCCAGCTGGCACTGACATATGGATAAGTTAGAGGATTCATTTATCAATATTTATATTCCTTGACCGTCATCTGTACCCAGATATTATGAAACTGATGCATACCACCTTTAGGAGTTATGATGCGCTGTCTGCAAATGCGTTTAGTTCACATGGCACGACTTCAAGACACTCAATCTTGCATTCCAAGAAAGAAAATGAACAAATTTGTTGTTTTGTGAGAGGAGTTTCAGTAATTTATGTTAATTAGCAAGCAATTAATTACCTAATCTTGCAAGCAGTGAGCTGCAGTCCTTCATAAAAAGAATCAAATATTAGGCCCAAAATACATGCACAGTTCGTTATTAGGTTGTACTCATTTCGAGTGAAGAAACAGAATATTCTCGACGTTGCTCCTGCATCGCGACATGTTAAACGGTCGTTGAACGTAGTAGCGCCTCTAAAGGTGATTCTGTGCAGCAGTACGCAGCACAATGAAGTTAAATGACTGTAAGTTATCCACTCGAGAAGCCTGCACAAATGTGTACACTGCATTTCAAGCTATTTCGAGGCACATGCGGTGCCCCGCCACGATGATTTAGCGGCGAAGGCACTCGGCTGCTGACCCGCAGGTCGCGGGATCAAATCCCGGCTGTGGCGGCTGCATTTCCGATGGAGGTGGAAATGTTGTAGGCCCGTGTACTCAGATTTGGGTGCACGTTAAAGAACCCCAGGTAGTCAAAATTTCCGGAGCCTTCCACTACAGCGTCTCTCATAATCAAATGGTGGTTTCGGGACGTTAAACCCCACAAATCAATCAATCAAGACACATGCGGTGCATGACGTGCCTTGGAAGTGTGTGTACAATTGTGCACACAGCGCCTGAAGGGGATATGCAACAAATAGCTGAAACATGGAGGATTAACTCAAGCAGTAGCTAAGTAGCCAGAGCCCCGCCGCGGTGGTCTAGTGGCTAAGGTACTCGGCTGCTGACCCGCAGGGCGCGGGTTCGAATCCCGGCTGCGGCGGCTGCATTTCCGATGGAGGCGGAAATGTTGTAGGCCCGTGTGCTCAGATTTGGGTGCACGTTAAAGAACCCCAGGTGGTCTAAATTTCCGGAGCCCTCCACTACGGCGTCTCTCATAATCATATAGTGGTTTTGGGACGTTAAACCCCACATATCAAGCTAAGTAGCCAGAGTGCTATGCAACATAAAAGGAGAGGAAGGCGAAAGCTTAAAATGGAGAGCAAGCCAGGGTAACCAATATTTTAGTTGACACAAGGGGACAAGGGGGGGGGGAGGTCAAAAAATTTGGGGACACCTAACTCCGTCTTATTTAGTTGAATGCAATAGCGATATTCTGTTCCTGTTCATGCTTCAACCTCAAAGTACGTGCCATTCAATTAAGGATGTTGCTCGAGAAGTTTAACATGTGTATTACTACAATGTAATCGATACATTTGAAAGCGGATTGTGTCGGTGAAGCTTTCACATATGGCTGCATTCTGTCTAATGGGTAGCGTGCTTTAAACCACCGGCAATCATGTGTGCGAGATCTTTTCGAACTTGTTATGCACCCACTATGGTGTCTTCAGGAAATGGCGCAGTAATGTGTGTGCCTTTTATAACGAGTGGGCGACTTTTAACCGCAGTCTTTATGATAATCATATGTTCTGATGCCTGATGGCAATGTATGCGCGTACCACGCAATATTATTGCGATATAACGTGTTGTGTTGGGAAGCACATATACAGGACGCATTGTTTGTAAAGCATGAACATTATTTTCACTGCATTTCCAAGCAGAGGAAGTTATTTGTACTGGATTTCCAAGCAGACGCGTGGCTGTGTGGTAAAAAGCTCCTTGCCACGAAAACGGCCCGGGTTCAAACCTTACTCGAATTCGGGAATTTTTATTTTATTTGCATCTTGATTTCTCGGTCACGCAAGATAATTTTTCACTCACAGCCAATGACGCTGGAATCTGTGACACAAGCTTTTAATGTGATATATATATATATAAACACTACTCGAAACCACTTTACTTGGTGAAGACATGTGACACCGGCAGAGCTTACAGGTGCGAAATCTCCTATTTAGAGAACGCATGAGTGAAGACTTCTACAGCAAAACTGCGGCCTTTCTTGGGACACTTTTCGATTGAGGTGAAAATGCTCGACGCTTGTGTGCTTAGATTTAGGCGCACGTCAAAGAACGCCAGGTGGTTGTAATTCCCAGAGTCCTCCGCTATGGCGTCCCTAACAGTCATATGGCGTTTTAGGGATATTAAATCCCAACATTTACTATTTCAGTTTATTAACTCAAAATACAATGTTCGCAGTTATATGCAGACGAGCGTTCTAGAGTTATCCCTAGAATGCTATTTTCAGGTGGGACTGGCCCTGCATCTCCTTTCTAGTGTTTGTCAGCATCATGAGCGGCTCGTTAACGACTTAAACAGATGGCAAAATGCATGTTTGGCACAACATTTTCGCAAGCCTAGAATTTTCCTGATGCATATTATTCTTGTGTTAGCACTGGAAGGAAGCAAGCTGCAATTAATGAGTGACGTTATTAGTTTTGCTGCACGAAAACTGTAATAATCACATAGAGTAGCCGTTACTGACAAATCCGAAGTACTTAACTTTAGGTAAGCAAGTTCCAGTAATTTAATGATACCTCTACAATGTCCTACAAAAGGTTTTGATCACACCAAGAGTACACCACTGTATATCAATGGGCAGCAGTTGTGGCAGCCATGCTACCGCAGCAGCCAGTGGCGAGACAATTGCTACTGTTTTTGGTCTATGAGCTCAGTTTATGCACTATCTGCTGGAAACTAGCGTACGATGGCCATGCTGTAAAAATTACGCCGGTTAAGTCATGCAATGCTTAGGACCGATAACTGGTACCCATAGTGACGGGAAGGGCATGCAGTGATGGGAACTGCAGCAAAGGATGGCAAAATTAGGCGGGGTGATGAAGTTTGAAAACTTGCAGGCGTAAAATGGATGCAGCTCGCCCAATACATGGGAACTCGGTAAAACTTGTCGTTGGGCTAGTTGGTACGTGCTTATCGAAATACAACAAAGATGCATAACCATGAAGGAAGGACTTGAGACAACAGAAAAGTTCTTTTTTTGATGGTCACACATCTTTTTTCCGCTTCAGTAAGAAGTGGTTAATTAGAGATCATTGAAAGAGGCCCTCGTTTTGCAGTGGTCATAAAATAGTGTTATTTTTTTTTACTTCTGCGGCAAACCAATAGGTAATAACAAACTTAATTCAAGAGTAAATGGAATATGGGATATTGCTGTGTGCAGATTTTAATTCACAGTAACCTGTGGCTTTGCCAGGCTCCCACATGTCATTGTGATTTACTGGCCGCGGCTTAGCACAATGTGTGCATTTGTTCCCCAAATGGGCAAGACACGCTTCAATGGGGGCAAAAATACAAAAAGACCTGCGTTCAGGTCAAAATAGAGTAAATCTAAAGTATTCAAAAATAATTTTAAGTTCTCTGCTATGGAATGTCTTGTTGTGTTGTTTTGACACATCAAGCTCTAAAGAAATTTTTCTTGCCAAGCTGTGTCGACAGCTTTTTCCTGCTGATCACCACCATCATGGCCACGTGCTGCCGATTCGCCTTTTTCATGCACGTTCTAGCAATGCCGGAGAACCGGCATTGCTAGAACGAAGGCCTCTGAGGCCAAGAGCCGTCTCCTGATTTCTCCGCTAGAAAAGGGCGCATGCGCCGCGCCATCGTGAAACATGCGGATTGCTATCTTCCTGGTTAGCTCAATTGGTACAGCGACCACCTTGGAAAGGCATTGGTCCCAGGTTCGATCCCTGAACGGGGACGAATTTTTCGGCAACTAAGAATCTTTCCGAGAAAACCGTCCGAATTTCGTTGTCGCTTCGTGCCACTAATGGGTAGCTGTCTAATTTTCCTTTCTTAACCCTTCGGCTACTTGCGGGTCTCCGCATAACCGATTTGCATGTGCTAGCATGTTTCGACGATGTGAATGCTTTTACAATTACATGTCCAAACTTTCTTCAGGTCTCATAAGGGATACTGATGCTAGACTATAGAGGCAATGGCTTTAAGTGCACTGGAAGAAAATTAGATGCAGTTAACTAGACTTTGTCAGTTATGCTACACTCATAATCACGTGGAAGCAGCCAATACAGACAAATGCACGATGTGCCTAGCTTTAGCTACACAATTTACCGTAATTTAACGACATCCCGTGTTTCATCACTGAGCACGAGGCATGATCCTATTTCAGTTCTCTCTTATTTGCAACATTTCATGTCGACCAAAACCCTAGCTATAAATGGCGGTTATCTATCAAATAATGCAAATAGGAGTTCTTGCTGTGCTTACATGATCAAATCCAGACCTAACTTATTTTGTTTAGAGATTGTAGGACATTTGATGCAGGATTCGGAGGCTATTTTTAGGGAACCCAAATATGGAAACATGGCTAGTATTTGAACACTCCAGTCAGAAATGTAGAAACTCTGACATTGCAAGCTTCATAATGTATGTGTTCACAGCTCTGCACAGAACAGGAATTTCCGTGCATGCAAGTTGTTCCAGAAAAAATGAGACATATCCTTTAAAATCAGTTTTTTCTTTCAGCCGATTATTTACTGCACACAACTCTTCCTTACTTTGCAGAGTTGCGTGGACATTCCAGTCTTGGGCTGTAAAGATCTCCCACAAGCTTTTTACTTTTTGGTAGCTGTTCTTAGAACAGCACAGCACTGCCGATGCTGCAGTTAGAGAGTTCAAAATAGCACAATTCCACACAACATGCCCCATTGTCCCATATGTAGGCATATAAAGACTTTGCATGCATGTCATGAATATACACCATACTCTTTGCATATGCATTCAAGAAAGCAGTAGTTCACAGCATCAGTCAAATCGCACAATTATAGACTACTGTTCGAGTTCACCAGGAGGGGGGTAGGTGTAGAGGGGTCTATTGTGCGCCGTCAGTCTATAAACTATGTACAATACGCCTTAACAGTGAATTCTGTACAATGAAACTTTGTGCATGAGATAAAGAGACAATGACATCTTAAAATCACACCGGAATGACAGACACAATCTAGGACAGTTTAAAACCACATTATATACAAAGTTGGGCAATGATACGAATGATGTGGGACAATTGCTGTAAATATGAATTTGCTTTTGTTTGCAACAGATCATCCACTTGACGTCCGGCTTTGCCGTGTGCACGAGATCCGACAGTTTTTAACTTATTGGCACTTCGGTATGTTGGAACGCTCCCACTGGTTCCTGTATTTTTATCATAGTTCAATTACGCAGCACGCTTTCACGCCAATCAATCTCACACCAAGTCAACCCGATTGCAAGGACAGCACGTCCATCCCGAGAGAAAGTGACACTCTTTGGCAATGTCTCCACTAGATGCATTGAAGAGAAGTCTCTAGGAATAAGCTATGCAAGTTTGCAAAGCTTCTTAAATAGTAATTTCTAGAATGTCCTTGCAGTGAGGAAGCATTTGAGGTCCTTTGTAAAAGTACTACAACGTGATCTAGAAGAAAAAGGTTCTTGCAGGCGTAATGGAATAAATGTATGGCGAAGCACTGCCTTTACAGAGACAGTTGCACAACAATGAGCAAGATGAACCGTTGAATGATACAGCTCTTTTAATGCGCACTCACAGGCTGCGACCGGAGGAGCTATACTCCCCTTTGCGTATGCAGTGGCATCATGAATTGATGAACCCAATTGATGACACAGCTTTGAGCCATGCTCACTGGCTGTAGTAAGGAAACTGCGGCTCCGCGCATGTTCGCTGCTGCATCATGGCTCCCGGAGGCGTCGACGGCGGAGGCGGACCAGTGATGGGCCGGGGCGGCGGCAGGACCGTGGAGGGTCTTGGAGGCGGCATATTGGTTGCGCCACTCCAGTGAAACGTGGGCTGGTGACCCTGCTCCTCGTAAGGCAGAGCCGTCGCGAATCGTGGTGGTGGCTGTGGAGGTGGCGGATGTGCAAACTGGGGGGGCGGCTGGTGCACGAACTGTGGCGGAAGAGGCCGAGCTGGGGGCGGAGGCGGCGGCGGGGCTGAGGCGTTGTACGTGGCGGGTGGAGGCATGCCTTGGGTGTATGGAGGCTGCGAGGGATTGTAGGCCATGGGCGGAGCCGCCGGAGCCTGTGGCGGTGGGTACGACTGCTGGGGCGGGGGCGGTTGACTCATGTGCGGAGGTGGCTGCTGCGGGGCGTACTGCGGCGGTGGGGGAGGCATCGACGGAGGTGGCATGTTTGTCGAGGCAGCGTTCACGGCCGCCACAGCAGCGGCCGCGGCAGCCCTCTTGTGGCTGTCGTCCTGAATTTGGACGGTGATGAGGTTGGGCCGACTGACAGTGGGGTTCTGCTGGCTCTGATACGCCCTGGGTGGTGCCACCATTTGCTGGGGCGGCGGTTGCTGGCTTGCCATCACAGGTGGTGGCATGTCTCGATATTCAGGCGGCAGGGTCTTCTGCGGAGGCGGGGGTGGTGCTTGCTGCTGGGGTTGCTGTTGCGGTGGTTGCTGCAGGACGCTGGCACGAGACACTTCAAGGGGTGGGGGCGGGTGCTGTGACACCGGTGGTGGATGCTGCCGGGGGTCGCGAACCATGAGATGTTGCGGCGGCGGAGGGTGGCTGGCCACCAGTGCTGCCATCTGCTGCTGCTGCTGCTGAGAGGGCAGGCCGTGCGACAATGCAGATGACTGCGAGGCAGCCGCTGCAGCGGCCGCTGCCGATGCTGCGCCTTTGAGGTGGCGATGGGTGATGTGGGCCTGCGGTTAAACCAGCATTGCACAAATGCAAGTCACGCCACTGCCTTGCATCTAGTCACAAGCAACAGTCCAAGCAGCCCGATTTATATAGCTCAGTGCAGCTTTGAATGTAGTAGTACCAATCGTTTGTTACATAATACTAAAGGATAGCTGTACTTCATCTAAGCATACTACTCATGCAACACCTGACTGTTCCTTCATTGACAGCTCAAGTAAACACCGACGTCCAAATCATCTTTTCGGCTCCTGCGCCATAGCATTACTTCGAAACCGAGTACAATACTATGCAAAACCAAATCGAATTGATTACATTCAATGACAAGTTCAACACAAGCCTCGTATCATGTGTAAAAGCACTGCTGTGAGTAACTCCTGGCCAAATCATTACTACGAGGTCTGGCCTGTACCTGTCATATCACCATGTATCCCTCCACAAAGAATGAGAGAGCACTTACTAAAGCAGTAAATTAGGCACATTACAAAGCAGTGAAATGTCCATTTCTGAGTAACATTTACACAGCTGACATGGCGAACACGTAGTCACCTGAAGGTCCCTCTGACTCAAGTATGTCCGTCGACAAGAATCCTTGCCCTGGCGACTCCCACCATAGGTGCACATGAACACTGTCCCAAGGTTGCTCTGCTCAAGGCGCTGTACTTTGTCATTGCACCTGCAGACAACGATTAATGACAGGCTGTAGACAATAACAATCGATTGGTGTGTTGCATAGATGCCACATACAAAAGACAAGCACAGTGCTTCGATGGCACATCATCAGTAGCACGATCTAGTGTGCATTCTACAATGAAATGTTCATTCTAGTCGCACGCAATAAGTCAAGGGTCCACTCATGGCTAGAATGAACGCTCTATTACAGGATGCATACATTAACGCATCCCAGGTAATGTAGGTAGCTGCATAAACCTGCAATGACGACGTACCTGTAACACGTCTTGTCAGCCTTTTTAGCGCAGTCATAGCAAAACACATGTTTACACGGTATCTGAAAGAGAAGGGAGACATTACAGGTTTATCAGCATTTCAAAGTAAGCTTGCATCACACTAGCATAAAGCTCTTTTCTTTCTTAGTGACAGAAATATTTATGTGATAATTGCTAGTTCAATTTTCAACTAACCAAAATACACAACAAACCACCAACCAATCTGAAAACAAACTCTCAAGATATTCTCTACAACTCTGTGTCGCAGTAAAATCAATTTCATTGTTACAGCACCCAGACGTTTGCAGCTCACCTGCTGCCGTCTCACCTTTTCTTTTTTCGTTTAAACACAAAACACTAAAAGCATAATGTACAACTTTCATTTGCACTCTCATGTGCCCTGAATATGAAATGCGGTTAACTCAATTTGTGCAGCACGATTGAACAAGACGCAAGAAAACAAATGATAAACGTTGTTATGACTCGCACTGCCGCCAACACTGTTGCGTAGTTCGCCAAGGTCACAGGCCGCCAAGGTTGTTCCGTAGCGCGTTTCTCAGCTCGCGGCTGCTTCTGTGCAGAGCTGATAGACGAGCGGACAAGACACTGTGAATTAAGGCAATGTTTATGTACAACATAGAAATAGAGGCGTTACATATTCGGCACTGCGACCGACAGCTTAGGGACTTGAAGAGCCAAGGTGTTTTCTCTCTGACGCATACGTCGGCTGCTTGGCATCGCGCCACTTGCTTCTTCATAGGCCCCTGGTGATGCCTTACGTCACCAACGTTCAATCAGAACAGCCGCTGGTGGCGTCAGCTTGTTCAAATCGGGAGCCGCCGCTGGGTGCTTCACGATCCTCCAATCCGGAGCCACTGCGCTGAGTTGCACCCATGAGCAAGTGGTATTGCCACGCGTCGCGTAAGACTCGCCAGACTGAATGGCGTCAATTGCATCGTCGAGCTGCTATCAAGCCCGTGGGTAGAGGGAGCTCGCCGTGCGTTGCGTAAGACAGACCGGCGCCGCCGGGCTAGATGACGTCGTTGAGGTGATTGTGTCGCGCGCGCTCGCTCGCCTTGACACAGATTGCCTTTGCAGAGGCAATGACGTTTGGTGTGGACTCCCAGGCGTGAAAACGTGCGGGCGCTGGTTTTTCGCCATATGTAAACATCAAGCCATCTATTACACACGTAAGCATGTTCTCAAAACAACAAACACACACCACAGGTGACAACACTAGAACTGCAGTCAATTACTAATGAAATTTACACAAGGAGCTTAATAACAACCAGCTTTAGAAATGCGAGCCGTCTTCAATCCCTTCTACTTGTGTTTTTGTATGCATCAATAATGTGGGCCCATCAATGCGCAGACAGCCTACCTAGATTTCTTCTCAACACGAAGATAAGGGGACAAGCCACGCTCAAATCAGCCACGTGACATATTTCATTGACTACCTTAAAATGGTGTAGCATAATGCTATGTAAAGAGTCTTGTCATATGGCCACTGAATGCCTCAAGTGTTCTTATGTGACATGCCACATGGCTTCACCATATCTCAAATTGCTCTAGCCATGCACACTTACAAAAAAGTTACTGCTCTTTGAAAAGACTCACCATGCGTCCGTAAGTCAGAATGGGCAATGTGCACTTGTCGCAGCAGTGAATCATCGGGTTGATCAGCTTCTCGCCGATCAGATTCACCTGTAAAATGAACCCAGGCAATGAGCACGACAGGCACAAGATTCCAGGCACAATAAGAGACACTGTCAGCTACGTGCAGTGGACGTTACTTGTGCTATACTATGCCAACAAATAATTACCAACTATGTGTAAGAGTACAGTTACACAGAGTCAAAATCGTTAACAGGTTGTTACATGCTACAACAAATGAATCCTAACGATTATTTATAAAGCAATCTGCCGCAGCGGCTAATACTAGTGTCAAATGAGCACTTTTGATTGCTATGAAAGCTGACCGATATCGTCAATGGTCGGTTCTAGTGGTCCAAATTCAGATTATGTCTAGCACTTGCCAGCCCAACTGCGACGCACAGATCACAATTAAAAGTGATCGTGAAACAGCAACTGATCCTCATCAAGACTATTACGCATCAGCCCCCCCCCCCCCCCCCCGATTGTGATAAAATATGGCCGTGCGACAAAGGTACTGCACGTGTCATAGACGTGACTCCTGGTTATGAACTCGAATGGGTCAAATGCTGCTGTAATTAGTTCTAGATGCATCTCAATATACCCTGGCTAGCTGAAAGTTAATTGATAGGCCTCGCAACAGTGCTTTTAATAGCCTGTGCTGTGGGTCGACACTATGCACCCTGTTGAAAACTTGGAACATTTCCCCGGAGGGAACCTTGATGGGATGCGAAGCAGCAGCGTTGTGCACTAGTTGAACAGCGCTAATGCGGGTGCTGCGATAAGCAATGGGAGATTCGTTTGATGCGATGGCTAGCGTAGGTCTAGTAGGTGACATGTACAGACATGTTTCAGCGCGTACATTAGGCACGCATCAGGTTTATTGTCTATGAACCGACGAGTCGGTGGTGTAACAAGCGGCGGTCGCGGGAGGGGAGGTTTTGCGGGTGAACAAACGAAGCGGCAGCTGCGGGCGCCGCGGTGAGCACGCAGCAGGCGAGAAAGAGAATGACATCAGCACACACTGCGAGGGGAGCGTGACTTCAATGCGCAGCAGTGGCATGACCTACTTGGCACTGCGCCAACAGCTGCGGCGCATTCGTATGGAAGGACAGCATTACACAGGCTAGCCAAAGATCTGCTTTGCATCTAATACAGAGCAGAAAAACATGGGCAGAAAACATGAACAACCCCCTCACAGCTAAAGTGCAAAACCAACACAACCTAAAAGGCAAAAGCTAAAACCAACTCACCAGAACGTTTGCACACCTAAGTTAAAATCTAAACACATGCAGATCATGCTGAGAGTTAATCTCGAGTACTGGGCAACATTCTTAGACACTATAAACCAATTAGCCACACCTCCACACATTTTACGCTGCTCAAAGTACGAATAGTACGTCTGAACTTGATTGTCTACAGGGTCAGAAGAGATTGCCGAGCCATGTTAGACTTGGCGATCTGGAACATCACTCTTGCTAGGCGAGGACGCCAAAACATGGTATTGATGAATTCCAGAAAAGAACGGAACTTGCCTACGTGCTTTGAGTAGCACCTGTGCAGGCATTCGTGCTGCCTCTCTCGCGATTCAGTGCTTTGAGTCAGTACACGTTAGGTGCAAGCAATTTATGGGAGAATTCGCTACATCCACGCACACATGCACAACAGGTAAACTCCGGCAGACTGCAAGTTCGCCAGCGTTAGCGCAGTTGCGGCGTGGCTTCATTTTTGGGGGTTTTCCACGAGAAGTTGTTTTCCCCCACCTTGTGGTCCCATCTAAGCTTCTTGTTCTGGTGCAGCGGTTCGGGCGGTCCCGTCCGACCCAACGGTGAGAAGGTCGGGGGCTCAATTGTATCGGCTAACAGACTTCGGTCATCTTCTTCTTCCTCAAGCTCTGCAAAAGGGAGTTGTTCGAACATTGTGCCTCATTCAACAAACACTACGACTTTAAGGATAACTGCGATTTGGGAATGTTAGTAAAGGTTTATATACAAGAGAGGACAAGTCGAAAGCAGGTTAAGAACGAACACAGGATGAAACATTCACTAGTAAGTGAGAACTTTTACATGGGAAAGAACATTCCCATATACATGTGATATGAATCTTAAGACACCATGAGCCATCATTACCTAAAAACAGTATTAATCGATGAATGTTTAAATACAACAAAAATGCGTGTGCGAAAACTGGATGCGGCCATTTGGTGACTCGCAACGTTTATATATAACAACACTCTTTTTCACAAATGTTCATTTGCTAGTTTCATGCTCCATCTTGTGTTCTCTTAGTTTCTGATAAAGTCGCTTTTTTTTTTCTATTACGAAACACCACAGCGATAGCAACGTTTATAGAACTGCAACGCAAGATACGGGCATACTGCAACAACACTTCACGCGATCCTGCCACTCACCCCTGTAGTTCTGAGGTCGGTTTAGGATCGCACCGAAGCCGTTTCGAATTATATCAAAAGGATCGCGCTCACAGGAGTCGGTAGTGCCCAGGTCGTAACGGGGTAGCGGCGAAGTCGTTCTAAACGCGTCGCCTCCGTTGGGCAGTCCGAAAAACGGGTGCCTGTTCGTAGTAGTAGCGGCGGCGAACTGGAAAACACCGCGACCCGCTGATCCGTTGGACACGGAATTGTCGCAAAACGGGAACCTGCGAGGCGGCGGTGATTTGTACAGGTACATCGTGGGCCCGCTACAGAAGATCGTGGATGCGTTCGGAGTGAGCGCGACAAGCGTTGGTAGCAATACAGCAGGGTCGCGGCACTTATGGCGACGCGGGAAAGGGCTGGGTTCAAATGAAAGCGAGATCACTGGAACTACAGTGGCGTTCCACCTGCACGCGACGCAGTGAAGACAAAGCAGATTACGAAACGCACGTGCACCTTAACAATAACGAAACACCGATCCTCGGTGAAAGAGGAAGAAGAGGCACTCGGTGGCACGCGCAAACGATCGGCACGAGCGGCACAGCCCGCATTTCGGAAACCGGCACACAGACGCACCACACTTCGCGCGCGGGTTTTCAGCCCGCAACCAATGATCCCGGATGAGATGAGAAGGCATAGACTACTACGTACTGTCGCACACGGTGGGCTCGTCTTTCGCGTTGTTCTCGCCATCTTCTTCGGCGGCCGATAGGTTCTGTTCGAGTTCTTCCTCTTCTTCGATGGCGGCGGCATTCTTCTTTCCCGCTGCGGTGGACGAGGCTTTGCGTCCGCGCGCGCTCTTACGACCGCGCCCGCGGCCCTTGGCTTTGCCCATTTTCTTCGCCGTAGTCGCTGGAAATCGTGGAGGGGGCAAGCGTTGTGATTACTGCGGCAGGCGAGCAATCGGTGCGGATTCGAGAGCGGCTGTTGCCGGCTTATTGGTTTTGCAAGATACGCCGCGCCGTACTGAGCGGCGACGTGGGTGAGTTAAAAAAACAAAAGCTTGCGCCTTGGTTATGACAGCTGTGGTTCACGTATGGGAACTAACAGCTGCAGCTTCGCAAGGAAGTCTGCGGAGAAGTACGAAAATTTTGCCGCTACGTACGGACACTGGCGCTAGAAACGGGTACCGCAGTAGGCGGAGTAACAATGTTTATGTGCAAGGGCAAAGTTGGCAGTCTCTCCGGTAGGCCCTACAATACTGCAGTCCATAAGTAGATGATGCAAGTACAGCAAAATAACAAGCGATTTCGGCGCATGTTAGCTGTTTGTATACCTGCGTCCGCCATCTTGTCCCGATCAGGGACATAGTGACGTAGTAGGTGTTCTGTGACGTAGTGACAGACAACGCCTCCTCTAGGAAGATGCCTGTCGCATAAGCAGAAAAACAGCTGCCTTACTCTTTCTCTCTTTTAATTTAAAGTGTTCTCGGTCGCTAGCGTCACCTGTGGCGGACGGTGCAACAACGCAACACTTTGCATAGCCTCCGAAAAGTAATGCGCAGTTGCAGGTCTCGAACAACTCTCGACTGACGCGCTCCTATGGGCCGTAGATTAAAAAAAAATGCCGCCATATCCACGAAGTGAATGATGATGAGTGGGCGAAGCTCCGGAGGTAAACCTGGTAAACCATGAATCCTCCGTACATTTTGCCCACTCGATTTTATTGCAACGCTCCCCCTAGCGTACGTCGCCGCACTATATCGAACGATGACACGCGCCATACGTGGCATTATTCCTATTTTATAACACCTCGCATCTTTCATAATCAACTACACGTACCGCCGTCTAGTTTATTACATCTTGCATCTTTTGGACGGACGGACGGACGGATGGATGGATGGATGGATGGATGGATGGACGGATGGATGGACGGACGGATGGATGGACGGACGGACGGACGGACGGATGGATAAGGCTGTACCATTTAGATCGGGCGGTGGCTATGCTAGCGTAATACTTAGAACTGAACGAGAGGTGGCTACATACAGGGGACGCACAGCCCACGCCTTAAGGAGCTTCGCTCCTAAAACGCTTAGCTGGTACCGCCCGTCGCCGTGATGATAGATAGATAATGTGGCCAAGTACCCTTTGCAACGGGCGGACTCAATGAAGTGTCCTAGCCATATTGTAAAAAAACACGAAATAAAACACGAGTTAAAGAAAACACACACGTCAGAGAGCCACACACTTCCAGCGCCGTGTGTGTCCACCGTGGGTGACCGTCTTGTGTCCCTCCACCACACTTCGAGGCGAGCTTTCGTGGTGCGCACACTTTTGCCACAGCGGTTTCCCTCCGCATCAAGCACGGAGGAAGGAAAACGGAGGAAGGAAAAAGGTAAGGAGAGGGCATGCTCAGCCGGCGCAGGGCGTAAAAAATGTGGCGGAAATGACATCATGGCGGCCATATTCAGTAGGCGCAATGGCGGCGTTGTTATGGTTACGTGTTGCGCAGTGAAGCTGGTCTAGCAGTGAGCGGCCGCGGCTGGCGGCGGAATGTGTGCCTCCGCCGGTCTCGTGCTGAGCCGTGGCGGACAATATCTGTGCTCGGCGCCGCTTTATTGGTTACGCAGTGTTCGTCTGGCTGCTACATTACTCTTAGCAACGTTTACAAATCTCTTTGTCCATCACGGGTTTTTAACAGTGCGTAGAACAAGTGCATATCCATGTGTCGTGCGGCGGATGACGCGGATGAAGCAGTTAGTGTTCAGCGAAATGGCGTTGGGCACAATGACGAAGCTGAATGACGACGAACGCCTTGCAGGTCAGTGACGGTTGAGCAGTGCTCCTGCTTGTGACAACGGACGACGCTGTTGAGCCCAGCAAGACGCCGTGAGGACCATGTGCACATACGTAGTTTCGTGTTGTGTGTGTACAGTAACAACTTGCATGTGCGTATTAAAACACCTTTTCTGTTCCGCTTGGTACACTCTCCACCAGCATTGCATGTAATCTCAACGTAACAGCAACCACGTTCAACTGTCACTAGCACCGTGCTCAAAGTCACCACGGTCGCAGAATGCTGACGCAGGTGAGTTTCACGCGAAACACGGACACAGTGGCAGGACGCTGCGTCAGTCGCGTGGCGGAATGCAACCGTAGAAGGCGCACGACCGATCGTGTTGTCTGTACAGTTGCTCAATTAATGACGTGAAAGCACTCGCCGTTGTCAGTGCATCTAGCGCGCGTTCTTTCGTAGTTGCTTCGTTGTCAGCGAGCTGTTACTCTTTGTTATTACTCGGACGAAGCGATTTCGCTGAAGGTGTCCCGCTGGCTCTGAGTGATGAGCCCAGTTCCATTAGTTTCGGATCGTCACGACACACGCGCTGCGCAGCCCACGTGCTTTCCGAGCCGGAGAGGGAGTCGCGCCTTCTGCTTCGCATTCATATGTAAACAAGAGAGGAGAATTTGCCTTTTCAATATGGCCGACTTCCGGCTTCATCGCGGCTTCACAACGAGTGACGTCAGGGCTATGGTGGCTAGAATTAGAAACTGTAAACACCGTGGCGTTGTCGGCTCCAGCAATTAGATGTCGAGCCCAGTAAGCGCTGGGAAGACCACACTTGCGGACGTCGGGAATTGCGGGCACATTCGGAACAGGTATTTGGTTACTGTCGCTTTCTGTGCTGTACGAGCCAGCTGTCTCCTCGCAAGCAGACGTGCTTGGTTCCTGACGCCGAATTTTCGGTGGTAGGCCGCAAGTGGATGTTCTTGACGTCCTTTTCTTCGGCACTTTCTTTGAAAGATACGCAGGAACATTTGGAAATATGGTTGGCACCGCGTCAGATTTCAGCACCGGTTTCCCTCGGGGAATCTGAACAGTTTCGCCGTTTATCACATGCGTGTAAAAACGCTCAATAAACTGCTCGTCGAAATGAAGCTCACATAGCGCCGACTTCACGTCCAACGACTTGTCGGCACGGGGTACGGCTCGTTGCCAGGCTTCGAAGGGGGCAGGGTCTATGGGAACAGAGAAAAGAGAAGCACGCTGACCTTGCTCCCTCGATGACACATAGCCGCTCGTGCAGCCAGGAGCAAAGCAGTGGCGTTGCCTCGCTTTCGTAGTGCTGGAGTTCATCCTAAGGTCGGCACTCACACTGTCATGTCAGCAACTAAATACATTTTGCCATAAGCGAGACATCAACGCGGAAAACTGCACACACCCAGACACGCTTCCAGAGGCGAACCAGCGAACCCAGCGGCGAGTCGACGAGAGAGCGCGGAGCGCGCGCTTCGCCCGCATCACTATGCCGACAGGAGCGCCGTGGTGGCCGTCGCGGCGGCGCTTGAAAACGAGGATCGCGCGCGCTCGGCGAATATGCGGGCGCTGGCGTCACCTCCCAATTCTAGCCACCATATCAGGGCCTCTCCTTACCTTTTCCTTCCTCCGTGGCATCAAGAAATCCGAGGGTTGGATGGATGGATGAATGGATATGGCTGTACCCTTTAGATCGGGCGGTGGCTAGCGCCACCAAGCCGTAATACTTAATGAACCCAAAAACTATATTTATTTTTTTTCTTAAAAAGTGAGTTTGAATATTCGTACTTTGGAGTGAAGAGTTCAATTTTCACTCGTGCCTTGACTTTAGCCACCAATCAGATAACCTTCTTCTAGTTAAGTCTACTTGCTTAAAGTCTATTTTGCCCTCCCGGTCCCTAAACCCCAGTGCTTTGAAAAACTCTGCGCCATCATCTTGAACTATAGAGTGAAGCCCTTTACAGAACATTATCAAGTGTTCGGCAGTTTCTTCTTCCTCTCCACACGTACTGCATACTGTGTCTACCCTTTCGTATTTGGCCCGATATGTCTTGGTTCGCAGTACTCCCGTCCTTGCCTGAAACAGTAGAGAACTACTCCGAGTATTATCATAGGTCCTTTCCTTGGCAATTTCCTGCTTAAAAGTTCGATAGATCTCTAGTGCGGACTTCTTAATCATGCCCATTTTCCACATGTCAGTCTCCGTTTCCTTCACTTTCTTAACCGATAGTTCTTTTTGGTTTGGCCACCTGCTGTTTTCCAAGTATTTATATTCTAGTACACTCTAGTATTTACCAGTCAACTTCCTGGTTCGCTTCCTCCATTTTGTATCGACATTCTTCATGTACAACTTACAAGTAGCTGAAAACCTTCCTAGCCCAACGCTCCTCCTTCATTTCTCTCAACCGCTTCTCAAATTTTATCTTGTTGCTAGCTTCCCTGCCCTCAAATGATGTCCATCCCATATCACCTTGTACTCCCTGATTTGGTGTATTCCCGTGAGCTCCTAAAGCAAGCCTACCTATTCCACGTTGCTTAATTTCTAATCTTGCTTGAACTTCTGATCTCATGCACAAGACCGCAGTGCCGAACGTCAGCCCAGGAACCATGACCCCTTTCCATATTCCTCTCGCAACATCATACCTATTGTAATTCCACAGTGCCCTATTTTTCATCACTGTTGCATTCCTGTTACCTTTAGTTGTCACGTATATTTCGTGTTCCCTTAGGTACTTGGTCCCATTGCTTATCCATACGCCCAGATATTTGTATTTATCTGTTATCTCTAGCATGACGTCCTGTATGACAACGAAGGTAGTTCACTACCTTCGTTGTCATTGAAAATCATGACTGCTGATTTTTTCTTACTGAATCTAAAATCTATCCTATCTCCCTCATTACCGCAGATGTCCATCAATCTCTGCAAATCTTCCTTGTTGTTGGCCATTAGCACTATATCATCTGCGCACATTAATGCTGGTAGTGCCTGATCAATAAGTTTTCCTTGTTTGACTAAAGAGAGGTTGAAGCCCAGCCCACTTCCCTCTAATTTTGCCTCTAATCCTTGTAGGTACATTATGAATAATAAGGGTGACAGGGGGCACCCATGCCTAAGCCCCCGTTTTACCTCTGCAGGCTTGGATACCTGTTTTTTCCCACTTTATAACTACCTTGTTACCTTTATAGATACCCTTTAAAAGATTAGTGACTACATGTTCCACGCCTAGTGTGTCCAGTATTCCCCACAATTCCTCTTGAACCAGGCTATCGTACGCTCCCTTGATATCCAAGAATGCTAGCCACAGGGGCCTGTGTTCCTTTTCTGCTATTTCTATGCACTGCGTCAGTGAGAACAGATTATCTTCCAACCTCCTGTGTTTCCGAAACCCATTCTGCAGTTCCCCCAGCACCCCCTCATCTTCTATCCATGCATGCAGTCTTTCCTTTATAATCTGCATCGCCAGCCTGTAGACCACTGATGTCACTGTTATAGGACGGTAGTTGTTTATGTCAGCTTTGTCCCCTTTCCTTTATAGATCATGCTCATCCTGCTAAGTTTCCATCCATCGGGAACTTCACCATCGATTATTACTTTGCTCACTGCCTCTCTCAAAGCCTGCTTAGACTTCGGACCTAATGTCTTTATCAGCCTGATTGGAATGCCATCTGGGCCTGTTGATGTACTACTAGGAACCCTTTTCTCAGCCCTTTCCCACTCTCGTTGTGAAAATGGAGGCATTGCACCACTTGATTCGTCCTTGTCTATTGTGGTGCATAAAGTACTTCTTTATTGAAATTTTTCTGTCACCCTTGCTCTTATATATTCAATAGCTTCGTCCCCTTCTAGCCTGGCACCTTGGGCTGTAGTTATAAAACTCTGCTCTAGGCTTGTCTCATTTCTTAGGGAGTTTAGATGGTTCCAAAATTTCGCAGCTACTTTTCTATCTTTTTTATGTACTTCTGCCAGCCACTGAGCTCCCTTTCTTCTAATCTTTTCATTGATCAGAAGGGATGCAGCCCTTCTACAGCTTAGAAACGTTTCCCATTTCCTTTCATCATCTGTCGGGTCACCCCGCTGCTTAGCATGTCTGAGTTCCCTAGAGGCTTCCTGACGTTTTGCTATGGCTCTCTTAACTTCCTCATCCCACCAACTTTTGGGTTTGTGTCTTCTTTTCCGGGGTGACTTGTTACGCGTCTTAGCAAGCTCTAGCTCAAAGAGTCTAATTAGATTAGTGTATGTCCACATTGTCTTATTATCCTCCGTGATTACTTTCTCAATTTGTTTAGTGGCTATTTCAATTTGCCTTTCTGAATAAAATTTTTCCTGTAGTTGCTCATCTCGTCCCCTCCCCACTTTCACTGCTTTTCCAAAACTTAGCTTGATACGTTTGTGATCACTACCCAGACTTCTGGAGCCACCTTCATCTATGTGCATTCCTCTGAGCTTATCACACATCCTATGTGACATCAGTTCATAATCTATCGTCGACTGCAGCCTTCCTACCTCCCATGTTATTTGCCCTTCACACTTCTCGGTACTGTTGCAAATGATCAAATCAAGCCTTTCACACATATCCATGATCATTTTGCCTGTCGGGTTGGTATACCCATCTATATCTTCTATGTGCGCATTCATGTCTCCTAGTATAATTATCTCGCACTCTCTTCCTAACTCCTGAATGTCTTTTGATATACACTCTACCATTGCCTGGTTTTCCTCTCTGGCCTTTGCTCCCGTCCACAAGTACATGATAGTGTCGGTCGCGAGCGCCACCGCGCAGGGCTTGTTTAAAACTGAAGGCAGGCCAACTCCGCTGGGAGCGCGAGCCATTCCTCAGGCATCTTTCTAGAGGAGGTGTTGGACGTAGTCACAGAACACCTACGTAGTTTCATATTAGGTGTTCTGTGGTTTCATTCATTGGAGGTGCATTCAACGCTATCCGCCATTGGCTGGAAATTGGCCACGTGAGCACCTAACGAGCTCAATGCCGACATTTTGCATGCCGTTTTTGTTTTGTGTCAACAAAAACGCGTGTATATTACTTTGCCCTGATAACCAGTGCACAATAACGAATGTTACCCTAATTGCCTTAGTCTTTGTTGCTAAGCGTGGAGAGAGAGCGCACTGGAAAAAGCCACATGCCCGTCACGAGTTTCGATTCTCATTGAAGTCGATCGATATTGTACCCATGATTGTACCTCATCATGGAGGAAGGCTCCTTCCATGCACCTTATGCAGCTTTTTTGATTTGCAGTTTTTTGTTTGTGCGTTTTACGTTCCAAGAAGGCGTTCTAAATCACACTAGAGTTAGATGTGGAATCAATGAGCCCGCTTACCATAAATGAATGAAAACAGTCTGTCGAGTGTGCTTGAGTGCACGAATCATGGTTGCACGGTTCTCAGATTTGTTCGGAATGGCACTGTGTAAATAAGAGCATGTTACTTAGACGCGGACAATCCTGTCCGCGCCTATGTAGTGCGTCTTAATTACGGTCATAAGAATGCGCTTCCTTGCTCTCACGTGATTGTCCAGAATCACTTTGCGTCGGCAAAATAGTGATCATGACCATCACAAGTTCATGACCAATCCGCGGAGCAATTACGCATCGTCAAGGCGAATCTGGCCAATGGTAGTATGTAGGTGTTATGTGATTCTGGCCATTCACGCGAGGCAAGCCAGCGGATCGTTTTCCCGTGCCAGAGAACACCGACTGTGCCCCGAACTACTGAGAAGATCGACTCCATGGTGCTACCGGTGATGACGTTGCGCACCATTTCTACGACTATTGGCGTGTGATTTTACCGCCACGCTGTGAATTTTGTAGGATGTTTAAGACAAATGCACATTCCGCCCATTTCGTGCTCTGCGGCAGCAACTGCAAACTACGGTGTACCGTTGTTGCAGCTATGAATTGTGAGTAAGCGCGAACAGTCAAGGACGTAGAAGCATGGAGGTAATATACACACGGCAGAATAGTGACAGAGTCTTCTACGTCCTTGTCTGTTCATGCTTACTCACAATGGTGCAAACCTACAAGCCCACCAACGTGCTTTAGCATCGTTTCAGCTCTATTCAGGCATTCTTGCGATATCATCACGGAGGGGACCGTCGTTGAGAACCTTCACTTCCGTGGCTTAAATGCAATCAGCAGTGCCAATCTTGGGTACTGATAGTAAATGACTTGACCGTGTACATAGTGTGTCACACAATAATAACACCAGATAATACCACGACGTACAGTGTACGTACATAATGATTCACAGATACTCGAATGCCGCGCACAGAACACCTACCAGTGCCGCGTCTATCTTTTTACTATCATCATCACCACATACCACTGAGCTTCAATCTACTGTGAATGTACACATACACAGCATTTCTCTACTGAATCTACACAGAGATCATGTGTTCGTCGTGCGGCGTTGTTGTGCCGTGAGTCTCGATCGAAGGAAAACTAGAAAAAATTCCCGCTCGAGAATTTTCCGCGGCTGCAGTCTTGAAGCGGAAGAGTAGTGAGCCAGTTTCCTGACTGACCCCGTCGATTTTGTGGGTCGCCTATCCGCTCATGACCAAGGACCTTTGAAAATTGTATTTTCCGTCTCAGTGCAGAGAGAAAGCCGCCGAGAAAAAAAAACAGCAGTAACGCTAAAGCAGTAGTTGCGTTTTGAAAAAAACGTCGCGCAGGCGTCTCAAGCGAATTCGATGCAACATGGAAGGCAAGCGTCTTGAAAACAAGCGACGAAAAGAAAAAGAAAATTCCGGCAAGGAAGTCGACATTGCAGCTGAGAAGAAGCGTAAGTCTCAATTTCTTCGCCATGGCCATTTTGCCGTGTGGAGGAGGCTTTCACATCGAGTGCATTTTCCCTTGTGTGTGCATGTGCGTGTAGTCCGTCGCCAAGCGTGCTTTTTGTTGACAGGCGGCCGCGGTTGGCTCGAACAGCTGTGCCGTGCGTGCTCTGGCCGTGCACGGCAAACTACGCCGTTCGCGCGCCGCAGTTCACTGAGGCGGCGCCTCAATTAAAAAAAAAAAAAAAAGCCAGTGCGTTTTGCGAATGAATGAAGCTAAGAAGACCGACGCGTGTCTCGGTGTTTACATTCGTAGCCAGCGCGTTGAAGGAACTGCTACGCTCTTGAATTAACGTGCGTCCGCTTTGTTGCTCTTTTCGAAGGCGCCTTGAAACACGACTGGAGCCAAACACGGGCCGAAGTAAGCGCTACGCTGGACGTGGGCTTTCCCCTGGATTCCAACCAAGTCACCCTCGAATGCACCGACTCTCAATGTTCGGTCACGTTGCCTGGTGAGTCGGCATTTTTTTTTTTTTTTCGCTTCACGCACACTCGTGCGCTGCTGTCGGCGACGCGTATTAAAAAAAAAAAAAAAAACGTGGGTAATCCTTGTTCTTAAGAATTAGTAAAAGAGGGAAGTGAAATTTGTTTTCACAGAGGTAGTTGAGCGTTTATTGCCCGTTTTTTTTTTTTTCGCCACAAGCCCGAAAGAAATGAATGTTCAACAACAAATTGCAAAGTCATGCGAAGAACGGCAAGCAGCAGAAGCAGCTCGAAACATGCAGCACACACCTCAAGCCGAGAGCGGGCATGAAGTGAGCATATGTAGGCCCCTTGTGCTCAGATTCGGATGCAGGTTAAAGAACCCCAGCTGGTCGAAGTTTCCCGAGTCCTTCACTACAGCATCTGTCATATTCATATGGTGGTTTTGGGATGTTAAACCCCACACATCAATCGTGAAATGAGCATACACAGCGGAGCGCAGACAAACACTAACTGTCTCAGCTCAACACCTAAAGCACGCTGCCCAAATAGAAGGGAAGGTGCACGAAACAAACGCACGAGTATACTCAGGACAGGCGTGAAAAACTTACATTTATCACTTTGTGTGTGAGTAGCGTGCTCTTTTTGCAAGAGCGGCCACAGCAGCGAGCGAAGTGATCTTCGGGCTCTCCCAAATCACTAGTCTGATAAACGCGCACGCAGGGGAGACCATGCTATGTAGAGGCGATGCTCTCCGATACGCGAGAGACGAACGACGACCTTTAGAGCGGGCCTAACGCGTGCTCGTCGTGCCGTCTCGCTACTGATGAGGAAAACACACTGACGCTACTAAGCTCTGAGGATTGCCAAATAGTATATGGTGTGTATAAATGGCTCGCTGTTAGCACTCTCAACTGCATGCGCGATCTGGCATTACAGTTAGCGCTGCACACTGTGATCCGAGAGGTCGCTGGTTCGATGCCACAGCCTGTGCATATCATTTTTTTTTCTTTGCAATCTGTTAGCATGTATTTTGCAACGTCATATCCGTGACGGAAATACGTCAGCGGAGCCGTGTTCGGCCCCGGCATAAAGCACTTTCGTGTTAAAAAGAAAAAGTTATCTCGGGTAACTTTGCCACTTTCTCACCACGCAATACCTGCTCTAATGATACTAGTTTAGCTTGAGAGGAGGGGTGAATTCGTGCATTGTAGTGTGCAGAGCGTTAGTGTAAGATTATGAGCATTAATTTTTTAGGCTTCACAGAGCAAATTAAAATGATATCCCCATAATTGTCACATCTTGTTCAATCTGCAGACAGGAGAATAAATATATCGGTCAGTACCAACGCTCAGTGTGTTATACGCCTTCTCTTTAATCCTGTCTCATTTATCGTTCTTTCTGTGTGCTATTCTTTTATATGCAAAAAATGTTTTTATAGTTATGTGGGGCTGGTTCAAAAGAACGAAAATTAGTTCTAGCCCAAGTGGAAGGTTATAGAAAGTGAGGATACCCGTGGTTTGATGGTGTTCTCGGGGGTGACAGAGCAACATCTCATGGACGTTAAAGAATTTGTATTGATATATCAACTGACATTCACGTGGTCTCAGTGTAGCCAGTAGCCATGGATGACTTTATGATACTTAACATTGACAACAATCTGTAGCGGAAATCTGACTAGTTTTTTTTTTTTTTTTTTTACGACTTCGCGCAGATGGTCGTCAGTGGCAATGTGAACTTTATGCACCCGTGGTGGCTGAATGCACCAGTCTGGTCCAGAAATCCAAAAAAGTTGTAGTGAAGATGGTGAAGCAGGATCCAAACATTGACTGGCAGCAACTTGAGGTAAGCATATTGTAAGGAAGTGTTAAAGAGCATCTCGTCTCTATCTTGTCAGCTTTTGCATTCCCAAGTTTGCCGCTGCTTGTGTGTTGGATTCAAAAGTAAGTAATCACCAATAAATTTCATGTGTATGCCATGAGAGGTGCATGCTCAGGTTGATCACCGAAGATGAAAGAAGCTTTGAAATGTCAAACGATGCGACATGCTAATTTTTAACCTGTGTAAGTCTGTTATCACCATGCTTAACTGTAGAAACAATAGTGTAAAAACGTTAAGCAAATCGCAGGGAAGGATGGCACTCTCATCATAATTGCGAGGCAAACAAACTGCTCTCAACAAAACTGTTTTACACTTACAACTGGTAATGCTATGAAAAGTACATCTCTCACAGCTTTCATATGCTAAAAAAAAAATGAAAAAAAAAATGTTGTGCATATATATGAAGAAAAAGTAGGTGCTATGCATTTGAATATCAGATTAACTTGATTATTATGTTGTACTAATGTTGTGAAACATGGTACATTTAACACAGTGCAAGCGTCATATAGCTGGAAATGCTTATACCAAATAAACAGACTGACACATCTCTGAGACAGTTGCTCACGATGCACTTTTCTTTGTGACCAAGTGTGGCACGTCACTAATTGGAAGTGCTAATGTGCAGAAATGATATGACATTTGATGCAATGTTACATCTAGTTTGCATGTAGTAGCAATTTTGTAGAAGTCAGTTGAGATAAAAAAGAAAATACTCTGCAACATTGGTGTATTGTTGATTATAACCTCAGAACTAATACAAGCTTCACCCACTGCTGTTAGTGTTTCAACCAGAAAGGTTGTGCATAGACTTTTCATCCAATCACATTTGCTCATTTCCGTGACGTCGAGCACTTTACACATTTAAATAGCCTATGTTCCCACACAAACACTTGTTCAAGTTGCTGGCCTTAAGGGGCTCTGCAACATTTCTTGAAGTAGACATGGAATTGATTCACTAAAGGAGTGTAATGCCTGAGGAATTCACTGCCGCAAAAATTTTTACAATCCGTTGAGTGGTAGCGGAATTACAAAAAATTGTCATTCATTCATTCATTTCATTCATTTTATTACCTCAAAGGTCCCGGTTGGGATATTACATGAGGGAGTGGGTATTACAAAGGCTAACAATATAATGGCAGTTATGATGGGATAGTTTCGATGAGCCGTTTAAATGCTTGGGTGTCGATGATGGTGGCGACTTCGGTGGGCAGGTCATTCCAGTCTTGGGCTGTGCGCAGGAAAAACGATTGCTGAAAGGTCACAGTATGGGCTTGTGGTGGATATACTGCGTTACAGTGACTGATGCGGGAAATGTGGTGGGCTCTTCTGATGTATGGGTTATCTAAAGGCAAAGAATGGAAGAATTTATGATAAAGGATAAGACGGGCGATTTTGCGGCGCTTAGCCAGATCGGATAAGTTAATCTCTGCTTTTAGTGCCGAGATGCTTGATGTGTATGAATAGTTAGACAGTATAAACCGTTCCGCACGGTTCTGGACAGATTCGAGGGCGTGAGGTTAATGTGGTGAGGGTCAAAAATCGCCTTAGCATATTCTAGCTTTGGCCGGACAAAGGTTTCGAAGGCAACTTTTTTAATAGAAGGAGGAGCGAGCGAAAGGTTACGGAGTATACACCCTAGAGTACGATTAGCAGAATTGATTACGTGGTTAATATGACAGGTCCAAGTTAGGTCACGCGAGATGTACACACCAAGATATTTAAATGAATCGACTGTAGTAATCTGGTTGTTATTGATGCTGTAGTTATAAACAACGTGATGTTGACGACGGTGAATAGACATTAACACAGTTTTAGTTACATTCAAAAACATGAGCCAAGTGTTACACCAGTTTTGTATGCGGGTGAGGTCACATTGTGGTATGGAATGATCAGAGGGGTTATTAATTGCGCGGTAAACAACACAATCATCTGCGAATAGACGGATGTGAGAAGAAATATTACAGGGGAGGTCATTAATGTATATCAAGAAGAGGAGGGGACCAAGTACGGTACCTTGCGGTACGCCTGAAAGAACGGGTGTTAGAGATGAAGAGCGTGAATTAGCATAAACAAATTGCTGACGGTTGGTTAAAAATGCTCGTATCCAGTTTAAAACACAGGGGTGGATGTTAAGACGGGATAATTTTAATAAAAGACGACCATGGGGGACCTTGTCGAATGCCTTTTCGAAGTCTAAGAATATTGTGTCAGTCGGAATGTTACGGTCTAGGTTGACGTGTAGATCATGCAGAAAAAGAGCAAGTTGAGTGTCACAGAATTGTCGCATGCTGTAATTGAATTTTCATTCCTTTCGTCCCAACGAAAGCACAGAATATAGGCAGAGAAGAATGGCACCAGAAAACAAGTACACCACAAAGCGCCTCATCATTTCGAACACTTTTGTTTTCTTCGAATACGCGGCTTTTCAGTGCGACTGCGTGCGCACGCGTGGTCAAGTCACGACCTTTCATGGCGATCCTTGCCACGATTGAGCCCGCAATGTTCAAATGGGGCAATGGCTGATACGACGGCTGTGACAAATTATTTTTGAGCTTGTCCCGTCATTCGTTGAGAGAAGAGAAAGAAATTTTTAGCTGACTTTGAGAATTTATCGAAAATTTCAGGCCGTGAAAACTTGTTGAAAATTTCAGGCCATGTGCTGTGCTGTAATATTTGGATCGCGTGTTCTCCAGAGCTTCTACTACCTACTGGCATTGTTTTCTGGTTGCAGGGCCCGTTTAAGTGAAAAAAAAACTCAAACATCCTGGCAAAATTCAGCTGAGATTCGGACACCGCTGCTTAGTCAAAGGTCATATTTTAGGCAGGAACCATTAACATTCAGTTTTTCATATGTGGGGAATTTGCATTAACACATAACAAGCACTTTGCGTTTGCGAGGACACCAGTTCGCATGAGCCTCTGACATAGGTGATAGGCAAGCACGTCGGGGTTCTGTGGGTGGAGTTTGTCTTTATTGATTTGTGACCGACTATAGCGAAACAACTATCTGAAGTCACTACTTGTGCAATGTCAGCAGAATGCACCGCCAAGCTTGAACAAAGTAGTGTATGCATCATCCCCCCCTTCCTTGAAGTTTCTAGCTGTCGAAAGCTCCCAGGCCGCCACCCCCTTCGCCCCTGTGCATACGCATACAAGTAGACAAATGAAACAGAGACATCAGACCCCAGATTTAACTAAAATCCTGACTACACTGCTGTGACGTAGTAAGAAGTGGTTGAAAGACTTACTTCCGGTAATGCACGGACTCTGTCTACTCATATTGTCAAACAAAGAAAAGTGAATGAATGGCATGGCTACTGAATTGATGAAAAAAGCAGTACCGTTGAAATACATGGCTTCATGCTTGTTTCTACCTAATGTGAGTCTACGTTGGTTCTCATTATTTCTACTGTTTTGAATCGCAACTTTGCAGAAAGTGGAAGGGTCGCCTTCGCTGCCCTCGTCAGACGAAGAGCTGAAGGACCAGCACCCGACCGTGGAACTTGTCGGTCCGAAATACGACTACTACGAGAGTGGGGTGAGTGGGCCTGCTTCAGTTGTTGCTCTGCGGCGCTTGTCGGGAGGATAGTGCATCAGGCTCATGACTTGCTGCATTTGGTACGACTGATTAGACTCAAATGCGCATGAATGTCGTGCAGTGAGAGAGAGAGAGAGTGTTTGGTTGTTTTAGTTGCTGAACTCTGTAGGTAGGGACACGCAATGTTTTCAATACAAATTGTATAGCAAAACCTATTCGATTGGGAACTTGTATTTGAAGTCCCATGTAACTTTTTTTTTTCAGGTAAACGGGGACACAGTCACGGTCACACTGTTCGTCAAGAGCATCTCCAAGGAGGCATTTGCTGTAGACTTTGATGAAAGGGGCTTCCTGGTGAAGTTTCACACTAAGTATGTTTGTTTTGGTGTGCAATACAGTTGCAAGTGTGGGTTCTATGATATATCTTATTAGTTGTCTGGGATTTAATACTGACCATGTTTTCAAGAGGGTTTAGTACCGCCAATGTAAATGGTTAATACAGATATTTAGAGATCTTGAATTGCAAAGGGTTTCCTCCCAATGTCTTGAGACTGGACAGTTTGCAATTGAAGACTTTCGTCGCTTGTCGATTTCAAGGTCAATTTTTTATGATGCGATTTCCAAAATTTTTAAAGAATTTTAGTCTCCTGACTAACTGTGTAAACCTCAGATAACTTTGTGTCTAGGAGAATTAGAACAATTTGTTAACATTTATTTCATGCCACAAAAAGTACACTTGTGCCAAAAAAATTATTTGATTTGAGCATAAACTGAATATTAAGACGCAATCACTTGTATGTGCAAAAGCTCAATCCAGAGCATTCAAAAGCAGCTAATATAAGCGGTGAAAAAAGTTGATGCCTTGTAATCCTTAGAGGTATCAACTTTAGCGTAGCTGAAATATTTTGGGCGTCACAGGGGTTTAGGTAATGGTTATCTCATGCACTACTTTTAGAGTGTTTCCAGGTTAAACCTTTTCTTATTCATGGTGTTATGTTTTTACAGTTATTCATCACTGTCTACAATATAACAGATAAGCTAGGCTTACACATCAGTACTGTGTAATCAGATACCTGTTTTTAATAAGAGATCTAAAACAGTGCAGCACATTTTTTTTTCATTTTTTCTATAATCATGCCAACAAAAGCTTGAGTTTTATCTGGTGAGATGCCCACCAAGTGATTAGCTTGTTGAACAATTTTTCTTGCGATAAATCCGTCTGTGAATAGCAGCTAATCACGTTAGCTCACCCTTATCACTAAACCCCCTTCCCCCTCTCCGAACTACAGAAAGAAAAAAAAAAATCCCCCCCGAAACATAATTTCCAACAAGGCTGTTGGTGTGAGACCGTCTATTCATTTCCCAGTGCTCAATGTTTTAGGCAAGCAATTAACAAAAGGTGTGCAATTTCCTGCAGTGCATCTAATTTACAATAATACATTTAAAATTGTGCATTTAATGTTGTCTGCACATCATTTGTTACCTCCTATGCATGCTTTGATTTTTCACAAGCTACAGCCTTTAATTTCTTGGTTGGGTGGGGAAATTTCTGTGTTGGGTTAGGTGGGGGTTGGGTGGGGTGTTTGAATTTGTGACGTTTAGTGGTAAGCTTTAGGGGCAGTTCTGTTTCGATATTTTGTCACTTTAAAATGTGCTCACGTTGTGTAGTGATAGCTTTTGATGCGTACATCTCTTCCAGGAACACCAACACAGAGTTTTTGGAGCAGCATGGAGCGTCGGAGGAGACAACATTCACCTGGCGTGTTAACGTTAAGTGAGTACATGTTTTGGTTAGTTTGTCAGCATTTAATTAGTGCTGGGATTACTTCTATATTAGGTCTGTATATGCTGCCAGAAAACGAGAGAATTGTTGTGGTGTGACGGGGACCTGTGAAAATTCGTCATCATGTCATATTTCTGATGTCGATAACGACAAGACTGTGATGCCGAAAATGCTTGTGGGGTTACGTCATGATGCAGTCACATTGGTATCATCTGCATAATAAAGTCAAAAGTTTTAACCACAATGTTAGTAATGTCATCATGACAGTGGCAGGAATTATTTCATGGTTGTCATCGGTGATGTGCTATCATGAGGTGATAAGGATCATTTATGGTTATTGGGGCGTCATAATGCCATCTGCGGAGTTGGTCTTGGCTTTGGTTCCCAGTCACGATGGCTGTGTTGCGGTAAGATATAAGTGCAAAAATGTTTCTCCAATGTGCTTGAATTTCTCTTTGCATTAAAGAACGCCAAATGGCCAAAATCAGTGCAATGTATTTTACTACAACAGCCTCATCATCTTATTATGATTTTGGTGCTCGAAACTCCGCGGTTAAACTTTTTTCATGCAAGAACGCCATTGATGAAACGTCGAGGCCGATGGCAAAACGTCATGCCAACCAATGTTGCAACTGTGGTTTCCACTTTAAAAAACGGGTACCTCAACCAGTTACTGTATTTTCTCACATATAACCCGTCCCTGCACATAACCGGCACCCCTATCTAAATTTAACTCAAGAAAAGGAAATAAAAACAAAACAAACCATGCACATAACCTTCTAATATAACCTGCACCGTCACTTTTGATGCACATTTAACTTTTTAGTGCGTGTTATATGCAAGAAAGTATGGTATGTCTCTGGAAAAAATATTGAAGTGATGGAGGCAAGCAAGATGCTATTCTTTCACTTTTTTATACCCTAAATCATGCTCGCAAATCGTTATATCTTATGGTAGTTCTCTTTTTTAAAATGCCACAAATAAGAACCATTTGCAAAATACCGATGATTGGTTTCCTATTAATACATTCCCTTGATACTACTAACACACACATTAATAACCTTGCCTACGAAACTGATAAGGGTAAAGGATACACCCAAAGTATTATTACAGGGATGCTGACTGTAACGTATTTTGAGTGCGAGTAGCAGCTAGATGACTTTTTGTATACATACGTATCTTAATGTGTGCTCTACATCAGTTTTTTTTTTTTTTGCCCATCTTACCATGAAGGGGAATATTGCTGCTGATTGTTTGTAGATGTATGTGCTCTGTCAGGTATGTTGCCTACTGCCCTCCTGTGCTTTTACTTTGAATAAACACCAACTTTAATTTGCCTCGTGTACTGTAGGGAAGCCATACGGCCCGAGGAATGCCGGTTTAAGCTCAGCCCCTGCAAACTGGAGCTGATCCTCAAGAAAAAGGTGCCGTCGCGGTGGTCGTGTCTAGAGCTCGCGCCCCCTGCCAAGAAAATCGGTGAGTGCCGGTACAGTTGGTTCGTTATTTTGAGGCGTTCCTTCTGGGATATTGGCCCGCCTGTTAAACTAAAAGTGTGCAGTTTCTGTACTGTAAAGAACAGCACTTGGCCTGCGTGAATGCCCATGCTCATTTACAGCTCGATCAAAAAATGTGAGCCCCACCAACAGCCATCACAGTTTCTGCCATGTAAAATTTGCATAAGTGCTTCGACCAATAGCTCTCACTCATTTTCTGGACTTTTCAAGAAACTGTAGTAGGCTTTCTTGTGGGAGATCGGCGCTGAATAGGTGGCGCGCCGAAAAATAGCTCCTGGCAGAGAACCGCGACACAATCATGCTGCTCGCGCCCGGACGACTGGCCGCTGTGTACTGCGGTGAGAGCACGAGCGCACGCTGCTGTCATGCTTTGTTTCAGAATGAACAGCTCGAAAAGTAATTGCGCCAGTAATACTGCACCGTTGTTTAAAAAAAAACTGTTTGAAGCCTTTACTCTCACTCAAGAAGCACGGGAAAAATGAAGAGAAGCTTCGCAAAGCGGGCCGGGTCTATGCATATGGCATTGAAGGGAGAGGTCTGTGCCATGATGGTGACTCCCTCATCATTTTTTTTGGTTGCGCACTAGGTTTTGTGTTAAGCTAGTGCAGGCTGACATGCCCCCGTCGATAAGTCCGTGCTGCGACGATACCGTGCTTGTTCACTTCTGTAGTGAAACAGAAAGACACCAAACGGGCAGTGGTAGCTGTGTCAGTTTTCTTTTTTCTGGCGTCGTATGCATGCTTTGTCCGTGGTACGTATGCACGTGGACGTTGATCAAGCAAACCACCGTGGCGGTACAGCACGTGTGGTGTTGCACTGCTGGGCTTGAAGGTGCAGAATACGGTCCACGACGGCCGCATTTCGATGGGGGGGAAATACAAAAAACACCCATGCACGAAGATATATCCTGGTGCAGAAAACACGTGGACGCAGGAAGAAAACAACACAAGCACTAACTTTCAACTGACGTTTTCCTTTTGCTTCAAAATAATACCTTGTTTTGCACATGAAACTCTAGCAGTAATCGATGTTGATTAGACAGCTTTATTTTAAGCAGACACAGGCAAGCGGAAAAAATGAAACTGTGCTTTAGGGGGACTAAACGAACAGTAGAAATGGAAGACATACTTCTCTAACAAGGCCTAAATTCTGGTGTTACTTAGCCAGTAAAAAAGAAACTTACTGCATTGGCTGACATTAGAAAGCCAAGCTCGAGTAATCCGCTGCTTTATTAGTAGCAAGAACCCTGTTTTTAGTGCAAGTTAAGTCAAGGGGAGACGGTGGTTTTCAAATGAAATTTTTATTCATGGAGATATTGTAATGAAATTAGGTGGGTATATGTATTGTTTCATCTTCTTTTCAAAAATATAATTAGTCTCAGTGTACAACAACTACTTATCAAATTGTGAGAGAATGAGTGAAGTATAATTGTGTAATTTCTTACGGGTTGTTAAGGCACTTTTCCTCAATATTTTTAGGTTTTGTTTAGGATGCAGCTGTAGCCAAAGACCTGCCATGTGGAGCTATGCTATTTATATTGTCACTGAGATACATCGTCATATCAAAATTTTCATTTGCATTGATCCTCCCCAATTTTGAAATTTAATTAGCTCACAATATTAATCATAACATTTCATATGTACATTTTAGCCACAAAGAAACAGCACAGCTCCACAGTCCTGTTTCTTACGAGTTGAACAATATAAAGTTTTTAAAAATTGCTTCACAAGAACACAATGAAAAGTTTCATAAGGCCGGTCAGGTTGGCAAAAAATGTGAAGCTGAGAAAATCTCATTTGAAGTTTCGACATGCACTGAAAAATTTTCTATAAGAAACTTTTACCACAAATTTTATACACATGTACGCCACCTATTCCCCTGAAAAACAAAACAAAATGTGCTTTATTTCACCCTTGGAATCATTTCTAAAAATTTTTCCAATGTGGAAAGCATTATCAGAACCTCACCATGACAAGCTGCTGAGGGGTCCTGGAAAATCTGTAGGGCATGAGGCTCAAACGACTAGCTGTTAGGCAGCATGCTACCCTGGGTAATGAATTGCTGTGTTCCGGGCCCTCAATGGACCATGGAAATATCCGGAAAATCGGGCATCCGCCCGGAAAGCTAGTGCCCGGAAAAAATGCCCCCTTTTTATAGGTATTTTTTGCTGACGCTGAGGGTCACGGCTGTAGTACAACATTTTTGTTGCGATCTTGTAAATGCATCGTTTAGGTGGTCTGAAAAGAGCCATTCGTAAAAAAGATATCGATGTGGCCGGTGCTATCTCAGTGGTCGACAGGTTGGCCCAAAAATAGTATCCCATTTTCTTTTGCACGGCATTCTGCTTGGCCGCGATGATGTTTGCCTCAATTTATTTAAGCTAGCCGTCGTGCTGTTGGTGTTCACCGATGACCGTGTCATCAGTGCTTGTGTGAACTCCGAGCTTGTTGGCTGCGTAGGCGCTGCCAAAAATCGGATGGCGAAGGCTATAAGCGCCGACTCTGAGGAGGTTGAACTTTCGGGTAGCCGACTTTCCCGACAAAAGGCTCTTCGTTTGCACCGATTTCTCAACTCTCTGCACCTGCTCTGCCGTTGAGTAGTACGCAGCATCAATACGAAATGTATCGCTCGTCGAACTTGGTCCCACGGCGTCGTCAGCATCGTTAAAGTTTCCTGCGGATCCAACCAGTCCGGCCGAGACTGCAACTAGCTGCCAAAGGGCACTTGTGGCCGGTGCCTTCTTGTTCCAAGGCCATTTTTTACGGTTACCGAAAGCTCATTGGTCAATGGTTTCAGACGAAAATTTGCAGGCATCCCGATTGCGGTGAAAAAGTGTCGGTGCAAAGCGGAAGCACAGTGCATCGAGCAACACGCACAATTGCAAGAGCAGACGCACACAAACGAACAGCCACGGTGGGGAACGCAACACAAAGAAAAAAAAAGATGACGCGTCAGTCGCCTCAGAAATGGGAGACTCGAAAAGCGCGCTTTGTGTGTTGGTTTGTGTAGTTTTCAGGGGCAAAGCTTCTTACTGTCGAGGCTTTCCCGTTGGTGGCGTTGGCATGCGCCGTAGCCGTGATGACGCTGATGACAATGAAGATGATTAGGATGATGATCTTGGACAATGACTGGCTTGTGCAGTATATGACGTCTCTATATGCTCGACTTCATATGACGGGAAACAACCATCAACCACCAGTGGAACGTGCACAGGCCTTGTCTCTGCCAACTTAAGGCTAGATTCGATACCACAAAAAAGTAATAATTAAGGCATAACAAAATTCACAGCTCAACACAACATACCATGATCAATGAAACATTGTATAGAGCTGCACACCACTTTATCACTCATGTACATGCATGAGAGGTCAGTGCCACCAGTGATTTACAATAACACCGAACGATCCCACCGCTTTGCCCACGCATCATCATTTACTTCGTCGATATGCTGTTTTTTTTTTTTTTTTTCATTTCATTCCACTTGTGCAGCATGTAAAGGTTTCAATATGAACCAACTAGTCTTTGTAGAAGTGTCCCAAAAATTAACTTTAGTGGCTTCGATGCGTAACCATCAAATTGCCTAAAGACTTCTGTTTGTGTTGTCTGATTGGCCGACTTATGTTTGCATTGTCTCTTGCTTTCCGCCGTCTGCTGGCAGCGCCACTGCCCGCGCCCAGCAACACGTGGGTGCCAGTGTCGAGGAACGTGCAAGGGAGGACCCCGCTGAGCAACGTGGCCCCCGTGCACCAGCTGACGAACAATGTTCAAGGCAGCGTGCAGCATGCGGGCGTGCTGGACTCTTGCGCCGGTGATGCCTCGACTGCTTCAGCATCCCTCAGCGATCCTCTCTTAAAGGTGCAGTGAGGAACCAGGCTTATTAATTCCTTCTGACCAAAGACGCGCCGAACTTGTTCACACTAAGAGGAGCGATTGGGGGTACAACAGCTGAGCTGCTCTGTTTAGTTCTGATCAGTTTTTTTTAGTTGGAGCTTAGGAAAACTAATGCAAACTAAGTGAACTAAGCAGCTAAGGTTCACCAAAAAAAAAACTCTAAATACTCGTTCAAAGCATGCAATGTGGTCGAAGAAGGCCAGCATTCCAGCAACTGGAATTGAAAAGTGGTGCTATCCTCCGTGCATGAGTGTCACGTGTGGGCCAGCAACAGCTCCATTCAGAAAAAAGAAGAAAAAGAAAAATACATGTTTTGAAAATTTTTCTCTGTTTAACAAGAATTTCAGTTTCCCTGAGAATGTGGCAGTGACTACACAGAGCCGCACATTTTCTGTGAATCATCGGACAAGATGATGGCTGTGTCTGCAAATACTGGCTGTGGGCCGGTGAATCCGCCCAATGGCGCTTCCGAGGTGCTTTTTTTTTTGGGGTGGGGGTTGCTGCTGCACCTAAAATTTCAAATTTTCAAGAGGCATTTTTTATACCCAAGACTAGAGAGGTTAGGGAACATATGCAGAGAATTGGCAGTAAAGCCAATTCTCTGCATGTGTTCAGAAAATATTTTGCTCGTATCTTGCAAATAAAGCACCTTCAAACTGCTTTATTGAGCAATTTCAATATTTCTAAGATGAAAAAAAAAACATTTTGTGTGGTTTTTCGATTAAACGAATTCAGCCTGCTCCGCTTGGCGGACAAAACCGATATAGCAAAGCTGGTGGCATGCAGTGGGGTTTAAATTAAGTGGAGTCGAATGAAGTGGCAAAAGCAGTAATGGGCACAGTGACAGTTGCGGGATTGGTGAGAAGTGCGGGTGGTGGGAGGGCTGGCACATGTCCATAGTGGGACTTGTTTCCTGCGGGTAACATAAAGTTTCCCAAATTTAACTAGAGGAGGCTCAAGCGCTGAGATCGTTCAACCGCATTGGCAATGATGGGTAGTACATCGATTTGCCGAGCCTTGTATTTGTGCGTTTCCAACGCAGTTGTGGCTTTGTCGAGCACTGTGTTTTGGTTTTGTTTCGAATGAAAGAACAGACCGTTCTGAACTTCACGAAAGGTCAAGGTGGTGTAGTGTAATGGCTGAACCTTTGCTGAATGTTTGCTGAACTTCGGCTTGCGGCAAAGTGAACGCGTGTCTCACGAGGCCTGACGGAGCCGAAAGAGTGAAGAATAGTCAGACCCATGTAGTGCCCATCATTCCCGTGCTGGCTGGAGCACCGTGCGTTGCAGCTCCCATAGACACTAGCACCAGAGTTCCCTTTAGTGTGTATATGGGAAACAATATGCGACACTTAAAGCCTCTACCATGAACAGCTTTGGCTGTTGAAACTCGGTAGGCAAAAAGCTAAGTGAGAGCCCCCGCTGTGGCTCGGAGGTTACAGAGCTCGACTGCTGCCCTGGACACGAGTTCAATCTAGGGCGTAATGGTTGTGTTTCAGTATATAAGAAGAGCCTACTGTGTGTGATGTCAATTGAAGTTAAAAACCCAACCTGGTTGAAATTATGTTGACCCCTTCACCACAGCCTTTAAAGCCTGTGCTGCTTTGGAACGTTGAACACTAAGAACCGTGCAGCACATTATGTTAGTGCCTTCCCTGCCTTTTTCTCCTTCGTTTCTTTCTCTCTTCCCCAGTGCGGCTTCATTGAAACGTTGCTGTTCAATACGTTTTCCTGGTTCTTGTATTCACGCAACAAATGTTTTTCAAGCTCGTTTCGGGCAATTGTGTGATGTCGCAGTTTCCTAGGTCATACGTCCTCTCTCTGTGCTTCTATTAGAAATATTTCAACATTTTACTTTAATTGGCCAACAAGCTTCAATGTTACTTAAGAGTTTTTGTCCACAAAATAAAATTTCTTGATTTTTTTAGCACTTTGTTCTGTAATGGACTTAAACAATGGAAAGCATTGTACTTTGTTAATGAACCAAACAGCTTTTTCTTAACAAGCTCCTTTTCATTCCTGACATATAGGACGTGAAAGATTGCCAAGTCAGAAACTGCGCTGTTTATGGTGTAGAGGAACATGTTTTTGTGCAAATGTGTTCCTTAACCTAACCTAACACCCATTTGCAGGTTTGGTGTTTCTCAACTAGCGAGTTCCTTACAGCCTTTTTGTCATGGGTGTAACCTATTTAGAAGCTCTATCCGCTTATGGATTGTAGTGATGGGTGCGTAAGTCTATGTATCACAGGTATTCTATGGTCAAAGTATTGCAAGAGCATTCCTAATTGACAATAATTAACTTAGGCCTCTCTTAAAGGGGCCCTGCAACACTTTTTGTGCATTGTCAATAAACGCTGCCGATCGATAGTAGAGGCTCCCAACAACACAGGAGCCAAATATTATAGCGTAGCACGCGGCCTGGGATTCGCAATAAATTATCAAATTCACTTAAAAATTTCTTTCTCTTCCCTCGTCAAATCACGGAATATGCCCGAAAATCAAATGTAGACGACCCATCTATCAGCCACTGGCTAATTTAAACATGGCACGCTCGGTTGTTACAGAAATCGCTGCAAAGGCCATCACTTATTCACACGTGCGTGCGCAATCGCACTGAAAAAGTCTTGTATTGGATGAAAAAAAGAAAAAGTGCTCAAGGTCACGAAGCGAGCGTGTTTTTTTTTGTTTGCCCCTCCCATCTCTCCCTGCTTAGATTCTAGCGCTTTCGTTAGAACTAGAGAAGAGAGAATGCGATTGCAGCGTGTGACAAATCTTTGTAACTCCGCTCGTACCGGACGGATTCTTAAAATTTTTGCGGCGATGAATTTGTGAGGCAATACGCTTTTCCAATGAATGAATTCCATGGTTACTCAAAAAAGTGTTTCAGCGCCCCTTTAGGCTCAGTCACACCTGTGTGCGGCTCATAGGCGTTGCCACACAGAATTCGTGTCTGCTTGTATATGGCTTCAATTGCCACGGCCCTGCCAAGTAAGCTGATGTTCTACTCCTGTGCACGTGATTTGTTCAGAGGTTTGGGAATACAGCTGCATGTCTGAAAAATTAAGCAGCAAGCAACTGATTCAAAGTACTAGTCGCTTTTGTAAACAGACAGCAATTTGCGACGGGTCACGCTGCAGCTAACTAGGTCGCGCGACTGTTGGATAGTCACAGTTATGCATGAGCCTTTAGCAGAACGAATGCTTCACATCATTGTATTCAATACTTCATCCATTTTAAAGTATGCCATTATTAACTTCGGTCTTTTTAATATAGCTTCGTGGTGTTTGCCATGGAATCAACAAAAGGCAGGACAGGAATAACACAACATTAATGTAGATCAGTCATAGTCATAGCCTTGCTACTGCTCGTCTCTGCAGAAGGTCATCAACAAGCCGGAGCCGCCGCCGCCACCCCCTGCTCCACCAGTCCCTGCTCTACCAGCCCTTGCTTCACCAGCTCTTGGTTCACCAGTTCTTGCTCCACCAGTCGTGGTTGCCCGCGGCTACACGGGCCTAGACAACTTGGGCAACACATGCTTTATGAATGCAGTGCTGCAGTGTCTCGCCAACACCCGGGAGTTCCGAGATTACTTCCTCAGTGCGTACATTCATTAATTTGTTCATTCACTCACTCGTTTAATTCTTCATAGATGATGCAGCCTCTATCAAACACTCGGAACAAAATCTTTTTCGTTCCAATTTTAGTATCGGCTTTCATGGAGGTGGTAGGGTGAGGCAAGGTTTTCAGAACCAGTACAGTTTCGCAGCTCCGCTTGCGAGCCGGCACACGCGGCTGACACATAAACGCGGAGACGACGCACATGCCGCAACAAGCCGAGACGTACGAAGAGCAGTCGCTTGTGATGCGCTGCGCGTTTCTCCGTGCTTGCTTCCTCCGCACTCTGTGCGTGGTTCCCGAATGCTTCAGGCATGATTCAAGATAAAACTGCAGTGTCGCTAGTTCTTGCGTCGGCCACCGTGTTCGCTTCGGCGAGCAAGCGTCTATGGGGAGCTGTGATGCCGCGGGGAGCTTCGACGAAACGGCAGGGTGTGGGCCAAAGGAGCCTTAAAAATATTTCAGTTCTTCTCCGTAATGAAATAATAGATAACATCTCGGTTATGTGTTTGTTGTGGTCAAAAATACTGTTTGCAGTTTCTTCGTTTTTCATATCTGGTTTTAATTCTGTTCCGACAGTGGTTTTCATGGTAAGACAGTTAGAGAACTATACAACTTATTAGCCACTTTACAACAATAAAATGGGCGTGCTCTCCAAGTAAGTCGTCTTTTATGCATGTGTACACATACTTTATCGCTGTAAGTGAAGCAGCACAAGGGATGCTTGGCTCACAGATTTGTTAGTGAGTTTATTTCAGTTAGAAAATGGAAGAACTTGGAAGAGCTGTTTCTCTCTTTGGGTAAACGGTATGATTGATTGAGAATGGGGCTTTCTCTTGGTGTGACAAGTTTAGTCATGATAGATGGGATCTTCTGCACTCTTATTTTAAAACTTGTCTCGTAACCCTTAGCGACACGGCGCCCTCATTTGGAGATACAACACTTCTGCCATTCCTGCTCGATATTGTCAAGCAAGAGACTACGAACACTGTGCTAATGGTCAATGAAACATTCTTGTTGCCTACCACATTTTCATATCACTTCTGTTTGAAATTCTATTTCACTACATGCGATTGCTTCTGTAAAGGTGGTACCGTGTGTAAGGAGGCCTTGGCTGTGGGCATCTTGGCAGGAACTTCAGTATAGTTTTTTTTACCTCTTTAGAAATAAACGCTGCCAGCAGATAGCTATCGCATGTAATCTGAGGGAGTTGTGGAATTTTGTTTATGAAGAAATATAGCATGACTGACTGTACAGCAGTTTGATAATTGTCAAGAAATGGCAACACAATGAAAGTGCATGTGATGAACTTACGGTTAAAGCGACCTAAGTTAAAAATATCCTTGCTTTTATTACAGTGTTGAAAATGTATGTTTATAAAGAATTTTTGTATATAATAAAGTTATCCTCCTGTCAATGCGAGTTGTCAAATACAGCTGAACCCCTTTGTTCGAGGCATGCACCGGGGAGCAATTCTTGTCTTTTATAGGAGATGTCTCTTATAAGCAGGATACCACGTATGCATTTTTTTATCAACAAGCATTTGAATATAGGTGCATTATTGGCTCTTAAATCAGTTTGTCTCCTAAATCATTGTCTCTTATAAAATGTTCGACTGTAATGTGCGAAAGAAGTTTTTTTCGAGAGGTTCATTTGTGTGTTAGACACAACCAAATGAGTGGAATATAAATCTGGCTGGGCAAAGCATAAAGAATGCTAATTGTTGTCTTGAGCTTTAGTGTACTAATTGGAACATAAATTGAAATGAATTGTAGATGAAAAAATCACCCTTCCTGTCGGTAGGATCTGATTCCACAATATTTATACTACAGTAAAACTTCGTTATAATGAAGTGGGGTTATAACAAACTAGTGGATATAACAAAGCAAAAATTTCCTCACAATAGATATCACGAACCATTCTTCGTAAGCAGTGAGCATTTACTGATCATTTTGTTATACGTCAATTCAGTATCTTATAGCACGCGACGATTTACGTCTCATCACGGCTGTGGTAATCCAAAACTAGTGCCTTGCGCTCCACGGGAGCTGCCTGCGGCCTGCCAACATGTTTGTGGTAGCGAATCTCTCTGCCTCTCCTTTCCTCAGGAACTAATGGACTCGCCCGCGCAGCAAATCGTGCGAGTGTGCACCTCAGCCGGCCTCCCCTCTCCTCTAGAACTCGTTGACCCGCTCGCGCATCTGACCTCCTCCTCCCCTTCAGTTTCGCGCCGGGGCCTCGCACCGAGTCGCACGCCGCCCAGGCGGTGGAGATTGTGGGTTTCTTTCTTTTTGTTCGCTGTGGAAAAGCAACACCACCTCTATCAGTTTCTGCCGCTAGAAACGAGATAGACAACGGCAGCAGCAAACGTACTCGCAAAAATAAACAATCGATCAGAGAAGTTGGCAATGTGAAAGGCCGTTGAGTGTGACGTCAAGAAAAAAAAAGTGGCCGAAGATTTCGGCGATGTCGCTGGGTGCTGCGGGCGACTAGGCCCTGACGTCGTTGTACGCTCTCCATGATGCCGGCGTTGTGCCCAACTGCGACATTTTCCGCATGTACGTTGGTGCCGATGCTGATGCGGTAACAACGAAAGTTTAGTCAGATGCGGAAATTGTGCCCGCGGTGACGGACGTGCACGACGACAGTGACGAATGTGTCGACACCCCGAGCCTAATGTTGGCGAACCCGACGTACCGACGCCCGTGCAAGCGCTTGATGCGACAGAGCTGCTGTGCTGCTTCTTTGGTGCTTACGATGACGGCAAGGACGGACTTAAAATAGCTGCTGTAGCTGGAAGAGCAGTCATATGCGTGAGGGAGAGTCGGCAAAAGTCAATAATATTAAGGACCAATTTTCTTAGAAGTGATCAGTTAGCTGGTGCGCTGAATTTGGCGCTAATAAGGTGCACAGTTCTTTGTTATTTTGCTATTTTTTGCCTTTCGTCGGCTGTTTTTCTCTGCGAGGCGGGCTGCTGTGATAGTCGTTGGCACGTACATTTTCTCTTGCCGGCTAATTGTCAGTAGAAATGGATATTGGCTATAAAGAACTAATGGTTATAACAAAGTAACTACAACACCCCCTTCAACTTCGTTATAACGAGGCTTCACTGTACACCCTTAAATGAGATTTGACTGTATTTACATTGTCATTACAATAAATTGTCGTAAAATACTTCTAATTCTTTCGAACGTTTATGCTTGCTTTATATTTGGCTGCCAGAACCTCTGCATTGAGTTGGGTAAATTTCATGCATTTATATATAGTCAATCATAATGCGTGTCGCGAAGGGCTTAAGCTTGCACTGCATTTGTGCGACGTTCTTCGCAGGTGCCACCTTTCAGGGCGAGTTGAACCGGGACAACCCTCTGGGCATGCACGGAGAGTTGGCCGTGGCGTTTGCCGTGCTCGTCTCATGGCTGTGGTCGGGCAAGCAGCGCTCGTTCGCACCCGACCGCCTGAAGCGCCTCATCAGCATCAAGGCGTCCCAGTTCACAGGCTTCGCTCAGCACGATGCCCAGGAGTTCATGGCGTTTCTCCTGGACGGACTGCATGAGGTGCTCTTTTCCTCTTGACACGTGGAATGCTAAAGTTTAAAGAGGGGTGGTACTGCATGGCGGGATGTTGTTGAGAGTGTGGTTCAGCTTATTACGAGCGATATATAGAGAAATAATTAGTGGTTTCCGCTAGTGTACATGCTGGCGCAGCTTACTCGCATAGTTTAAAAATCAACTGCAGCGAATTCTAAACGCCCCTAGTCTAGTCTAGAATGGTGTGTTTAGAAGTCTGGTCTAGAATGGTGCAAACGGAGAGTTATCTCCGTGCTCAATTTGAGGATTGTGATACAAGGCGACGTTGCCATTCCCGTTCGCTAAGTGTGTCTCGTGGCTGGCTTGCTATGATGTCACCTTTGGTTGCCTGCAGGGGCACATTCACATCTTTTATGAATTTTGGATTTGCTGTGGAGTTCGTGTTCCAGAAACATTGGTGGCCAACTTCGTATGCTGTCGAAGTGCAGTCTCCAACATTGCTCGTGGCGTTTTTATACCTAGGACCTCAACCGCATCCACAACAAGCCTTACGTCGAGAGGGTTGAATCAAATGGCCGACCTGACAGCGTGAGTAACTTTCACTGCTCTCGTAGTACTGAACTATTTTGACATTGTGTGTCAAAGGGAAGTGTCTAAAGGACAAATTCCATATGCACAAAAATCGATGCCATGGCACCGAGCCATGCAAAAAGCATCGAAAAGGACTGTCGCACAACAAATTAAAGACTATCGCTTGGCTGATAACTCAGCTTTGCAACCCTAGAAACTTGCTCATCGCCCGTAAGTTGTATGACAAATGAGCCAATCGCAAGAGATTGGAACAGGGTGAATGATAATGACTCACTGCTGGCACAGCACAGAAAAAAAAAAGCAATAATCAAATGTGCTCACATGACAGAAAAAACAAATGCAAGACATTGAGAAATAATGTATGTCACTTTGTATAACAAAACATACTGCTTTACATTAAATTCTGCTTGCATCACACCAGCTTCAATACAGAGTAGCCACTCTCATGTCACCAACACTAGAAATTCGAAGCCGTCCTGTGGATGGGGCTCGGTTTAGTGGGGGTTAGCAACAGTATGTCCCTTGCATTGCTCGTCACTGTCACGTAGATTTCCACTCATAATGAATTTGGTCTTTATTAGAAAACATCTGAACACTCCCTCCCCAAGAGTATACGACTCACGCTTTGTCCTTACTTTCCTTTTGTTCTTCGTTCATTTTTAGGTGGTTGCTGATGAATCCTGGAGCAACTACAAGCTTCGCAACGACTCCATTGTCGTAGATCTGTTCCAGGGCCAGTACAAGTCCACTGTCATCTGTCCGAAGTGTCACAAGGTGGGCGAGACGCGAGTGTTCTTCAGACAGACAGGCAAAGAACTTTATAGGGTCTTAAGAAACGCGACTTTTTATAGAGCAACGTCGCAGGCTGCTCCAACGTATGAACGGGAAGGCCTAGCCTCACCGCCGCATTGTGGGCTTTCTGGACAGCCCGTAGTTGTGGTAGCAACTCTGAACTTTGTCAGGCAGAGTCCCAACCCACTTCTGTGAGTCGACTTGGGCCCCATAAAGAGGGGCACTGCCAGAGCATATGCGCTAAGTCACTAACCTCACCACAATCGGGACAAGTAGAGTCAAAAGCCTCTGAGGAGACCATTCTGAGGAAAGATAGGCTTGGATAAGACCTGGTCTGGAGCATTCTAAACGTGATGGCCTGAGGGCTAGACAACTTGCTGTGCGGAGGAGCAAATGATCGCCTACTCAGCTGGTAGTGTTTAGCCACTTCACTAAATGTATAAGTAAAGCATCCCTGAACATCTCACTGCCAACCTGCAAACCTACGTCCTCCCCAGCGCGGAGGGTTAGGGTGCACGCCCATGAGTGAGCAGTGTCATTCAAGTTTACTAGAGAGTCCAGTTGGGATTCGAGATGTGCAAGAAACCAGGTAATGGTATGTGGAGAAAGTATCCTATTTTCAAGTAGTTTAAATACTTCTGCACAGACGGAACCAGAGGCGAAAGCCTTGACCGCTGAATTCGGGTCGGTGAAGATTTGCGATCTACTGTCATCCAAAAGGGCAAGGGCTACAGCCAACTTTTTGGCTCTTCAGGGGGGGGGGGGGGGGTCCCTAATTGACGCAGCATTGATAAGTGAACCCATGTGATTGATGGAAATAACAGAAAACCTAGCTGAGCAACCATACTGAGTGGCATCAATAAAACATGCTGAATGAGGATCGTTATTGATGCTCTTCAAAAGTGTCATGGCCCTAGCCCGGCGCCTGCCTACGTTGTGCTGAGGATGGACGTTTCGCGGAAACAGAGGGACCTGGATGGCAGTATGCTGCTGATCCGGCAGTTGAAAGCGGTGATCTTCTACGAGTGCCGGACTGAGACGTAGGACGGACAGAATCTTCCTACCCGCCGGCATAGATGACAGGCACATTAGCTGTGCAGTCTCTTGGGCTTCAATGATCTCATCTAGGGTGTTATGAACTCCTAGCTGCATAAGCCGTTCAGTGCTTGTTCGCACGGGGATGCCCAACACCCTCTTTACGCTTTTTCTGATCAGAGTTTCCAGCTTCTTTTTTTTTTCAAATCCATACCAAGAGTGAATGGCAGCAACGTATGTTATGTGACTCATGAGGAATGCATGAAAGAGCCTCAGTAGATTGTCCTCTCTGAGTCCCCCCCTTCTGTTCGAAACCCTATTAATCAACCTGATCATGTTCTCGGTCTTGGTTGAAGTGTTAGCGATGGTTTGTCTGTTGTACCCGTGCGACTCTATAATCATGCCCAGCACTCAAATAGCGTCCACTCTCGGAATGGGGGTGCCACTTCCGGTGTGAAATACAACGCCAACCTCTGATAAAGGCTTCCAGTTTTTTGGCTTGGCTCATTTTCTACTGGGCCTGTATAAAAGCAGCTCCAATTTACTCGAGGAGCACCTCAGCCTTGTGCCAGCACGAAAGAGCTCCATTTGATCGACAGCTTCACGGAGTGCAGTCACGACTTCTCCTTCGCTATCTCCGAGACACCAGATGGTACTATCATCAGCGTAAAGCGTATGGATGATGCCCTTCACGTTAGATAGCAGTGTGGACAACTTGCACATACAGTGAAAGCTCGTTAATTCACACCTCATTAATTCGAAATTTTGGATAATTCGAAATGGTCGCCGCAGTCCGGTCCACAGTGCATAGGAGACCATGTGTAAAACGATTCGTTAATTCGAACAGAAATTGCTGCCTCTACGTATAATTCGAAGCGCATGCCACGGAGCGTCATCATCGTAAAACACTAGTGGAAGCTTTTACGGTCGAACGATAGGTGGCACGACCAGTTTTTCCGAGCTTCAAGTGGCCTCCGAGCAAAGGGCGAGCAAAGTATGGCCTCCAAAATCCAGGGAGCAATTTTTTTTTTCCGTAGCCTTCCCGCTATCTCAGCGCCTGGCGCCACTTGTACGCGGGACCACGGTGGAAGAATAATTTTATTATTTCTTCCACCGTGCGCGGGACCCACGGGACGTTGAGGAGCCGGCGGAGTAGTCCTAGCAGTCCTAGGCCGCTCCCGGCAGCGTCACTTTGTTCCTCGAGCACGTTGTTCGTTCACATCATGCACATGTTGGCGCGCGCATGGGAACAGGTGACCGCGCCCACAATCGCAAACTGTTTCCGCCACAGTGGATTTGCAGCTGGAAGTGCGCAGGATAGTTGTGACGTCGACGTGGATGGGGCTGAGGAGCTCATGCCAGTGGCATTGCGCAACACTCTTCGGGGCGTACGTTTTGCCGATTATGTTGAAGTTGACACCGGTGCATCGGTGTGTGGTGCCCTGACTGATGAGGACATTATCGCTCAAGTAGCCGGTGCGCAGCCTGATGCTGAAGAGCCAGAAGGTGAGGAAGACGAAAATGACGAAGCGCCTGTGCGCCCGTCAGCTTCTGCGGTGATGGAGGCACTTAATGTGGCGCGTCTCTTCTTCAGCTTTGAAGAGGGTGAAGAGGATTCCTTGCGCCGCGTCCGCGCGCTGGAACAGAGAGCCGCAGCTGTGGCATTCAGAGAAAAGAGGCAGATGGTCATCACCGACTTTTTTGGCCAATAAATATTTTTCGTGCCCCCACCCCCGAAATCCACCCATTTTTGCTCACTTTCATTATTTCTAATTTTGTTTAATTCGAAATTGCTCAGCGTTCCCGTGGAATTCGAATTAACAAGCTTTTACTGTAGCGATGCTAAAGAGAAGCGGGGATATCAGCGCTCCTTGCAGCATGCCTTTAGGGCCCAGTGTTATGGGAGAGGACTTGAGGTCCCTGATATTGAGCGTGGCCTTCTTGGATTCGAGAAAGGAGCTGACGTATCTGTGGAAAGCTTCGCCCAGTCCAAGCTCGGAAATGGAGTGTAAGATGTGCGCGTGGGAGGTGTTGTTAAACGCTTTTTCCAAGTCAATACCCTGGCTGCCTCTTACGTCCCTTGCGTTCACGTCTATGATTTGATGTTTGAGTAGCTTCATTGTGTCTTGTGCAGACAAAGACGGATGAAACCCAACCATGTTGTAAGGAAAACGACCTTTCTTCTCGATGTACTTAGAGACACGGTTGTGAATGACGTGCTCTGCTACCTTGCCGACACAGGACGTTAACGATATAGGCCTAATATTGGCTAAACCTGGAGGTTGCCCCGGCTTGGGAATTAAGTCAACCGACGCCATTTCCCAAGAGTCTGGGACAGAACCTTCTCTTCATATGTGATTGATCTCATCAGTAAGAAAATTGATGGATTCATCGTCCAGGTTCCCGAGGGCCCTCTTAGAGATGCCATCCGGCCCAGGAGCCAATCGTCCATTATGGTTTTGAAGAACTTCACAAACGTCGCTCGTGGTAAAGGGCTCTCCAAGCTCAGTGCAAGGGGTCCAGTGTAGAATGGATAGTCTGAACAGCTCGAGGAGCCAATGGGTAAATATCTGTGAGCCAAACCATTCAGTATAGCATCTTCAGAATCGGACTGTCTGGTGGCATGCATGAGTTTAGCAGTGGCTTGCCTTTGATTACTCTTGGAATTCGACTCGTTCAAAACGTGCTTTAGCAAATTCTATTTTCCTTCTATTGTAGTGGAGCATACCCACCAACGCGTATGCGCCTTCGGAGGATAACGAAAAAGCCCCGTGCTCTGATTGCACGAGAGCCTGTGCCGTCTCTGCCAGACTTGTCGTACGGCCATTTTTTGTTGCAACCTCGTTGCGACTTCTCTGCTCGAATAAACATCATCACATTTGGTGGAGGCTCCTGAGATCCCCAAGCAGACCTGGTGCTCCGCTCTCGGAAGTTGGCCGAGAGACCACCGTGAAACATGACTGACGCAGTCGCCAACCAGCCCATCCCAGCCCAGCCAGCACCATCGGCTGCCCCGTCTACCTGCCCCGGCGCTACCCGCCAACGGGACCCACCGATCTTCAGCGGCAGTGGTGAACAAGACTGGCTCTCTTTGTACTGGCGAAGACTGGCTCTCTTTGTACGAACGCGTAAGTGCCAGCAACAAGTGGGACGACGACTCTAAGCTCGCCTACGTTATCTTTTACTTGGCAGACGTAGCTAAGCTTTGGTATACCAACCGCGAAACCGCCCAGCTCCGCGCTGACCAGCGTCTACGCCACCGAGCCCAACAGCCTGGCGAGACGTTTACTAGTTACATTGAGGATGTGCTCGACCTCTGCAGGCGTGTTAACCCATCTATGCCTGAAGAGGAGAAAATTCGGCAGATTCTCAAGGCCATCGAGGATGGCACATTCCAGATGTTGCTAGCAAAAAGCCCGACCACGGTGGCAATCCTCATAAGCCTGTGCCAAAGCTTCGATGAATTGCGCAGTCAGCGTTCTATCGCCCGACAGTGTCCCACCACCAGATTCGATCTCGGCCGTCGCACTTGCAAATGCCAATGTTCGCCAAGAAAGTCTGTCCAACCAGATCAAAGACTTCATCAGAGAGGAAGTCACCCGACACTCTCCCTGCTGTCGCATAGCGACGCGCCCACCACAAGCCTGCCTTCGACACTTCAGCAGGCCATACGCACTGAAATTCGCGATGTCCTCCCTACAGTGCCAGCCCCTTACCCATGCGCTTCAGTAGCACCTGATCTCTCAACCGTCGGCTACGCGCCACCTGCGCCACCTTCACCTCTCAGCAACGCAGCTGTGGTCGCGCGGCCCCCATGGCAGCCAGTCTCCTTATCGGCTACACCTCCTCCAGCCTCACCTCCAGTATACAGGCCCCCACCTTGCTTTTTCCGTCCATCTAATCAGTGGCACACCCATGACAACCGTCCTATCTGCTTTGCGTGTGGCATCACTGGCCACGTTGCACGCTTCTGCCGCCGCCATTCCACACCTGCGTACGCCTCCTTTGGAACGCCTACCTACGCGCCGCAGGAGGCCATCACTTCTTCATATGAATAGAGGCACTCCGACTCGGATCACCGCCCATCAACTGCTCGTTTTCCATCTCCTCATCGCCGATCGCCATCGCCTATATGTCGTCAACCACCTCCTGAAGAGGGAAACTAATCAGTGCAGTTCCGGAGGCAAGAACTGCAACTTCTGCGCAATTACCAAGGCCTCCATTTTCGCCGCAAAATGTTGATGTCGATGTTGAGGGAGTCGCCACACTAACGTTAATAGATACGGGGGCCGCCGTTTCTGTGATGAACGCAAAACTTTGTCGCAAACTGAAGAAAGTGACCACATCTCTTTGTGGCATGGTGCTGTCCACGGCTAGCGCGCAACACATTCATCTCTCGTCTGTGTGTACGGCGCGCGTCATCATCCAAGACATTTTGTACATCGTCCAATTTTTTGTTCTACCATCTTGCTCTCATGACCTCATCCTGGGTTGGGATTTCTTATCACGTCATGAAGCTATCATCGATTGTTCCCATGCGGAAGTGTCCCTTGTGCCAATGTGTGAATTTCCATCGCCCGACCGTTCTCTGCTCTGCAAACTCATAGCTGAAGACGACATCACCTTGCTTCCGGAAGCTTCAGTCCCTATTAGCCTTTCATATGTAGCGCAACCTGACGCCACGGTGGTGTTCACGCCATCTCCGGTTTTTACTGAACGCAAGGGCATCGTTCTCCCATTTGCCGTTCTTACAATTGTGTCTGGTTTAACCGTAATGTTGGTTACCAACCACTGCAACTACCCCATTGGCTTATTCCGTGGTGAAACCTTGGGATATGTACAACCTGTCGAACATATGATATTATTCTTCCCGACGAAACCCCATGTCACATTGTCGCAATCACTCATGGGTCTGAGGCATCAAGGTCGTTAGCCTTTGACAATGCTATTGACGCAGACCTTCCCCCCTCGCATCGCCGCCAACTTGTTGCTCTCCTTAACAAGTTTCGCTCTTCTTTCGACTTTCAAGAACCTGCTCTGGGCCGCAGAACCTGCTCTGTAGTGGAGCATACGCACCAACGCGTATGCACCTTCGGAAGATAACGAAAAAGCCCTTGATTTTTTTTATTGATGTGGGGTTTAACGTCCCAAAACCACTATATGATTATGAGAGACACCGTAGTAAAGGGCTCCGGAAATTTAGACCACCGTGAGTTCTTTAATGTGCACCCAAATCTGAGTACACGGGCCTACAACATTTCCGCCTCCATCGGAAATGCAGCCGCCGCAGCCGGAATTCGAACCCGCTCCCTGTGGGTCAGCAGCCGAGCACCTTAGCCACTAGACCACCGCGGCGGGGCAACGAAAAAGCTCTGTGCTCTGATTGCGCGAGAGCCTGTGCCGCCTTTGCCAGACTTGTCGTACAACCATTTTTTGTTGCAACCTCGTTGCGACTTCTCTCTCGAATAAACATCATCACACTATTCTCATTTGGCCATCAACAGCATTGCACACCTCATCCCATTGCTGCCTAGAGAGGGTCTGGCAGTGGTCCTCGATGGTTTGGTTAAGTTGTGCAGTTTTCTTGTGGAGCCGACAATTGAGCCTCTGTCCCTTCCACCTCTTGAGTAATTGTTTCTTGGCCTCTAGGAGGTGCGCAAGGTGGCTGTCAATCCTATCCATTTTCAAGTTCGTGTGTATATTTTTTGTTGCCTCACCGTCTCCCTTGAGCTGTTTGGCTCATTGATCCAGGCTGGGGGTTGAGTCCTCAGCTTGTGCGCATTCTTTTCTAATATGCCAGAAGTAATCCCAATCTGTGAAACTAAACTCTCTTAAGTGCTTGCCCTTTACACTGATATGGGTAGCTAGAACATTATGGTCACTATCCAGATCCACGTGCAAGTTGTGCCAAGTAACAGATTCAACATTTTTAACAGAGTTAAGATCTGGCAAGGTGTCCCTCGTGCAGGAGTAACTAAGTTACCCATCCTGTTCGGAAATGCTGGGTCCGTGGCCAGGGTGAGGTTCAAGTTCGCTGCTTGCCACGACTTGGACCTGGACTTGTTTGCCGGTTCGGACAGCTCATGTATTGGTGGGAAGTCCTTGTCAAAGCCGCTTTTCTGCGCTGTCTGACGATGTAAGGTATCTCGAAGCTTTGTCTACAGGTTCTGTTGGCTGTTGGATGAGGCCCTCCGCAGAAGGCGCACTTCAGCGAGCAAACGGGCTGGTTGCCAGTGGGGGTCATTCCGCAACCTCGGCAAATAACATTTCCTAGAGTGGGGCACATGTCGGCTCTGTGGCCGAGTCTACCACAGGCATAGCAGACGTCTGTCTGCCGTTGGTAGAGGGTGCACTTGACTATGCTGGGACCGCACGTCACGTAATTTGGGACTCAAAGTCCTCCGAAAAGGACTGTGGTAGAATTCTTGATTCACCACACTTCGAGAACAGTGGGATTCCTTCGGCTGAGTAAGAAGTCCTCTGAGCTCTTTGTTGTTAATTTCCATATCGATGTTTCTGATAATGCTCTTGCATATGTTGTCGGGCGCAGCAATTTATGAGCTAACCTTGTACCCTGCATTATTAATGGTGAAGGCCTCTAGACTTGAATAGGCTTGCGATGGCATGCTCATCACAACAATGTTCTGCATAGCGTTAGGGCAAATGCTGTCTTCTGTGATATCTGCAGCGGAGAGACGCGCTGTTGTCGTGAGGGCTTCAGAAATCCGGGCGTTACTGGTATTCTTAACGTTCAGGCCTCCCCGAGGCCTAACATTGATTCGACAATGCTCCCTTGGAAGATGAGGCAGCCTTGACACGTTGGAAAGCTGTTTCTTCACGTTGGCGGGAGATTGGGTGCCTCCGTTCTTGTCATATGGTGGGCCTTGATCTTCAGCGCTTGTCACGGATTCTTTAGTTTATTCACGCTTAGAAAGGGCGGTTGTCCATGCAGAACACTGGAATTCTTTGGGAGAAATGTCCTCCCCTTGCACAGTGACTTGCACAGCCATCTTGATAGCTCAAATGTGCTAAGCCTAACCTTAGGTCTAGCAAGCCACGGCATGGTCGAGCAGAAAAGTCCTTCAAAGGTCGACAAAAGGTCCACCCACCGTAACAAAATTGTTTCCGAGTGGTCTTCAAGACTTCAGGCGTCAACTGGAGCAAAAGGCATCAAACACATAGCTAACTTTTCAGAGAGAAAAGGTGAACAAGCAGGAGCCGATGTTTAGACGACCGCATGAATCAGCGCCCCCTAGGTTTCCCCAGGTTGTCATCAGTGTTCGTCAGAATGTTCGTGAAATCGAGAGAATCACCCCTTTGCATTCGCACATGTGTGTTCCAGCGTGAGTACTCAACTGTTCAACGATTCAGTTTGAAAGGAGACAAGCTCCTTAACAATCCTCTTAAATGCAGCATCTTGCACTTAGTGTGTTGCCTCGACATAATTCGCGACTTATGCTATCAAAAGTACTGACAACGGGGTGAGTTGGTAAAGACTCATTGTCATAGAAAAATTTGCTGTGAGAAACGAGGACACACACAAAAAAAGATCACTCACTGTCCACATAGTGCCGGTTTTATTTTTTCTATGTCCTTATTCCTTGTAGTGCTGCACTTATTTGTTTATTTTTAATAATACTTGCACTTATGCTTGCTCTTCCTAGTTGAACACAATGGTTTCAGTGTTTAACTCTTATATTTCAGGCTGTGTTTTGTTCTCTCTTTGATGTTAACCCATGCCTCCCATTCATTGTTACATTTGGTAAGTATAAATGCAATTTTGGGCACATCTAGGTATCTTCAAGAAACTAGTGCTAATGACGAGTTTTGATTAGATGTGCTCGACGAAGAATCGGTCTATGCACACATTGATAGCGTCTGGCGCGTTTTCAGCGATTTATTTTTAGTGTGTCTCACTGTTTTTCAGGTCTCTATCAGCTTCGACCCATTCCTGTACCTGACGGTGCCGCTGCCGAAGAGACAGCGTGTTTTCGTCGTGCAGTTTTTCGCACTAGACCCACAGTCCGTTCCGGTTAAGGTCAGTGTCTTGTCTACATTGTCTGCAGGGCACAAGCCGCTTGACAAGCGTAACCGTTTATTATTTACCTTCCAGCTTAGGGTCAGGCTCAACCACGACGCCAAGATCCAAGACCTCAAGGAGGAAATCTTCAAGAAGACCAAGGTGTCCCCAAAGAATGTAAGTCTGAGAAAGTGGCCAGTTCCGCTGATAATTAGCAGATTTGGGCTTCTTTTTTTTTTCTCTTTGTCTGAAATTTCGTTTGTTATCAAGTCGTTCGTAAAATCTTTCAATTGCTTCTAGTGTATTTGGAGCTTAAAGGGACCCTGCAATATTTTTACAAATAGCCATGGATTGTATTCAGTAAACGAGCTTATTGCCTCACGAATTCACCACTGCAAGTATTTTTAGAATCTGTCTAGTACGAGCAGAGTTATAAGAACATGTCACAAGCTGCAATTGCACTCTTTTTCTCATCCCGACGAAAGCATTGGAAGCTAAGCAGGGAGGAATGGCATGGGAAAAGAAAAGTGCCATGCGAGCTTCATGACCTTGAGCACATTTCATCTTTTTTTTCTTCGAATACGTGGCTTTTCAGTGAGACTACGCGCGCATGTGTGGGCAAGTCGTGGCCTCTCGCGGTGGACCCGGTACCGACCAAGCGCGCCGTGTTCAAATCAGCCAATGGCTTATGGTGGCTTTTGACGAGTGATTTTCGAGCTTGTTCTGTCATTTGTCGGGGAGAAGAGAAAACACTTTTTAGCTGATTTCGAGAGTTGTGAATTTGGGCCATGTGCTGTGCTATAATAATGTTCGGCTCTCTTGTTCTTGGCAGCCTCGACTACCGATCGGCAGCATTTTCTGACCATGCTCAAAAAGTGTTGCAGGGCCCCTTTAATGTCGTTTTTCCTGCACATATAGTTGTACAGTTTAACCTGACTGTTATGTCACATTGCGGTGCCAGCTGCGCTTGCTGGAGGTTTACAACCGAAGAATTTACAAGGTGTATGGCAGCGAAGAAAGCCTGGTTGGCGTGAATCCAAAGGACCAGATCTTTGCGTAAGTGTCCTGTTATTTCTGTTGGTATCTCACCTGGTGTTGTGCTGACAAAAAGTTTTTTTGCGATGCTGAAAACGTTGCTCGTAAACTAAATTTCGCACATGGTTCTCCTTGTTATCTACTGCAGAGAAAAGGCAACAAATATTAAAGAAAGAAGTCATTTCTCACGTGTCACTTTAGTAAAATTTCACTTTGGCTGATTTGGTTGAGAATGATTAGTGCAGTAGCTACTCGTTAAACAGAACTTTAAGGGGCCAGGAAAATGTTCTATTTAGCGGAGGTTCCACTTACTGAGCGTTGAAACGAGATAGCAGAATTTGAAGGGGACGTGGCAATGTTAAATTTGGTCAAAATGTTCAATTTTTCAATTAAGTTTTTCTGCCATTCCGAGATCATATTTTACGTCATGGTGAAATAGTAGACAAAAATGAGTATACATTGTAGAAGTTGAGAAAAAAAAGCATTTTACTGGTGGGCTGTCCTCAAAAGCTATGAGAAAATTTTAAGAAAAAAGAAATCTGCATCTTTTCCTTGGCACAGTGCTACCATATTGGCATCATCTTAAGAAAGACAGATCAGAGCTAAAGAAAGCCACAAGGTTGAATTTATTCAATAAAAATCTAAGGCGTGCTCCATTCCGTGTTTCGTTTTCTTAGCTTCTAGCTCCAATTTCTTTAGGCTTCGTTTTCTCAGCTTTTATTTTTTTTAGCAGTTGCTGTCATTCCTTTGCCATTTTGCAATAATGAAGATATGGCCATTGTGTTTTCCGCACTTAGATTCTGAGACATTGGTGAAGGCTGTAAAGCTGTCCATATTTGTGTGCACATCATACAGATTTTTATAATTGACCTTTTGTAAAGTTGTTAGTAAGACAATATGCCCAGAACATTTCAAAAAAATTTTTTGTGCTTACTTAAATATTCAAAATTAAAACCAATAGCGTTATAGCGTTATGGTACAGAATAGGCCCTCCTTGTGAATGTCCTTATTCAAGAATTTTGACAAACTTATGTCTAATTGATTAATTTTGGGATGACAATGATAGTATATCAAGAGTTGTAACCAAAAAACTACATTGGATATCTCAAAACCGATTTCAGTTATGATATCAGCACAACAAATGATGTTTGCGTGCCAAATTTCATCACTTTATTTCCTTAAACAACAAACATAGTTTTCATAAGTTCTAAGACAGTAATGTAAGGGGAAGTTGTTTCGATTCAGCAACAGTACTGTGTACTGAGAGTCTACTAAAATTGAAGTTAGCAATGCTTTACATTTAGCGATTGTTGAAGTTCCTTTTCAATAGAAGCCTCTCGGTAAAAGTCGGTGTGAACTGAATCTTATTTGAAGGCTTCCATATTTGAATTGTGGTAGAAGATTGTAGATATCAATTTTTAAACTTTGTTTCTTTTTAAAGAGGTGCTAGTTGTGCGATATAGGTTCCACGAAAACTGCGGCTTTGTCCCAGTAATTCAAACGTGCATAACTCTAAACATTTGTGGTAAGTGTGTTCCGGCCGAGACGGTACAAGTAAAGCGTAGAACACTTTTCTGTTGGCAAGCTTTGTGAGGAGGTCAGATGTGCTTCAGTGTGCACAAAGCATGTTATAAAGTTCTTGACTTGCCTCTGAAGTGTTATTTCGTTGCACCTCTGTTACAGGTTTGAAGTCCTTGACAGAGACGTCGCACGGGAGAGAGTGGTGGAGCTGGCTGTCGTGCAGGTAAGATTGATCGTGTGGTCTTTTACACCGGCAGCAAGTAGTGTGAGCACTCGTGGCTAATTTTGATGTTGCCGTCATGTTTTGTATCAAGTACAAATTGATAGTAAGGCGTTCCTTGTCATGCATATTTGGTGTCGTAGTATTTTGATGCGTCCTCTTGGGTGAAGAAAGCAGCGAGTCGAGTGCATCTGGATTGAATTGCTTGTTGAAAAACTAAGCAGGTCTAAATATAATCCAGAGTCTTTTGGAGATTAGTTAATTGTGCACTTAGGTGATCTGATGATTTAGCAAATCTTCCAGTGCCAGTTTTGACTTGGGCGTTTACGCCCTGTTGTAAATGCCCAAAAGTTGTTCGAGTTGTAGCGCAGGTTTTGCTGTTTCTGGTTGTACTATGATGTACTATTATGTATTGGATTTCGATCCACGTTCATTGTACTGCTTCGTTTTTGTATGCTTCCTGTGGCACGTGCACACTGTAAACTCCCCTCATGCGCTACTCATGGCAACACTGGAGCCAGCAGAGTACTTCGAACATTTAAAACTTATAAGCCATTTAATTCCCACTCGTAACAGGTATTCTAGCTTAGGATAATTAAAAAGCCTTAGAGTTTAATTAACACCAGTTTATCCACTTTTGAGCGAGTTGGCATCGCGCAGAGTTTTCTTCGAGTAGCACAACCCAGGAGTGAAGGAAACGAGCTGATAATGAAAAGGCAGGGGTGACAGGGGTGGCACTAATTTTAAAAAAAAAAATTAAATAAACTTTTGCTAGCGCTTCACTCTGAAATCTCTGCTGTAAAGCGCTGGATATTGGTGTGCTTTAGCAGACTGGAAAGGCTGCTAAGAAGCCCTTGTCTTTCAACACAGAGGGCACTGATGCCTCCCCTGGCGAGTACCTGCTCGTCGTGCGGCAAGGAGTGCGTGGCTGAGCAGGACAAGCTCAAGCGTTGCACTCGGTGCTTCCGCGTTGGCTACTGCAATCGGTGAGTGAAAGTTGTCAACATTACAAATCAAAGTTGGTTGCTTTGTGAGGCCATTGAGTTTGTAAAAAGGCGGAGAACGTCTTCATGTTGAATGCCTTTCACTTTAAAACTGCCTACAGAGGCCATTCTTATCTAGAATACTTTAAAAAATAGGTTAATGAGACTGTCCAGAGTAGCTTTGCCATTGACCATTTTGATAAACTTTCCTTACTTTGTGCAGTTAACGTTGGTTCACAAAAAATCTGTCAACTAGCTCCTGGAGATGTTCTTATCGACTTCAAGTGAAATGGGGGGAAGGGGGGACTAGCGGAGGACTCCGTTATTTTTGTTTGCCACAACCGAATGATAGCAGCAGACAAGAGAGAGAAATGCTTTAATGAAATGCTCTAGATGTTAGCCTGGCTTTTCGCTTGACATGCTACTCCTTGCGTTGGCGAGTGATCATGATATTTGCACTGATAAACAGATAACGGCACGTCTGGGTTAACACATTGAAGTTGGGGAGGAAGGTGTAAGAAACAGTACTTGCAGTTTTTTCTCGCAAGCGTTTCCGGTGCGTATTTAAAAGTTCGTCGAGAGGTCTTCAAATCTTCCGCTTGCAGGGTGTGCCAGACCAACCACTGGCAACAGCACAAGAGCGCCTGCAAGTTCTACCTTGAGCTGGTGGGCCTTCCCTTCGTCGTGAGCATGCCGGCGTCCCAGGCGACGTACCAGAACCTCTGCCGGCTCATGGAGGCTCATTCGAGGTATGTTTTAAATTTATTTCGCCCCAAGCGCCTGTGGCTCATTTTTACAAACTTCTGTGCGTGTTTGAAAACGAGGGAAGCTCTGTGAGCAGCCACTTAGCTGACAAGATGTAACAGGGTTACAGACGCTGTTCGAAGGACTAAGGAAAATTCAGCCAGGCCCGCGCTGTGAAAGCCGTGGGACAGTGAAGCTGTAAGCGCTTGAGTACCTGAGATTGGCTAGTGAGATCACATGCATCGTCATTTAGCATCATCATCATCATTTTGTTTTCTAGTTTTTTTAGTCGCTCACCCTGAGATCATCTGACGTGCATGACTACTACTACTACAACTACTACTACTACTGCTACTACTACTACCACCGTGACAACCACTACTACTGCTACTGCTACTATAAGTAGACTACGAAAGGCCTGCTCTAAAAAAAAAAAACATTTGCCTCTTTTTTTTTTCTCGAATTTTTTTCGCCATGGCATACAGAGCGGAAAATGACCACTTTTCTCCGAAAAAAATTTTTGCCTATGCCCTGGGTGAGGTGCTGATATAACTGGAAAGTGCGTTAAAAAAAAAAAAAAGTGGGGCCGAGTCGCTTTTAGGTTATTGCACCAGCTTGCCGTGACATCATAAATCTTAACGGTATCTGCTGGAGCGTGCATGATTCTTATTAATAGTACCAAAAAATTACATTACGCCACAAGGCAGCCAGTGGTACAATAAGCAAGATGTTGAAAAAAAAGTTATAACAAATTTAGGCAAATATATATAAAAAAACTGCAACGCGTCAGATCACACAAACATTCAGTTGCCGGGATTGCAGCATGAAATTCAAAAATGACACCTTCTCTTTTATTTTCCTTTTTAGTAACAGTCCTAATATGCTCTGTTTTCCTTCTTACATAACAAGTTATGTATTGATGTGGGGTTGGTACTCATTAAAAAATGTGCTTGGGGGTGTCCTTGCTTGCTCGATCCACGGTTGTTATCATGTGTTTTAGGGGAAGTTCCTGTGGCGTATTTACACGCGTAATCCTCGCCCTTTTTTTGCGGAAAAGCGATGAAAAGTTGTAAGGAGCAAGCAACCTTTCGGAAGGATGCAGCATTTTTGGGGTACGATAGTTGCACGCGAAAAAAAAAGGAAGTCGGATTTTGGTTGGGCAATGGGGGGGGGGGGGGGGGGGGGTGTAAGAATTATGCAGGTGTGAGGATTACGCCAGTAAATATGGTAATTCACAGATTTCAGGGGTGGTGTTGTATGCGAAAAACCCTTCGCTAGTGAGCGTACTGAAAGGTACCTCTGGAAGATGCTCCGCTGGCTGCGTGCATATATTTATGTGCCGTTTTCCAATAATTTATGATGTTTCGATGGTAAGCTTGTCAGCAATCGACCGGTTCTTGCATTTTGTTTATTTATTTTAGTTATACTGTACGATACTGCAGGCAGTATAGTCCAAGCAGGAGAGGATGTACATAAACATACAAGAAAACACGAAAAAATAGAAACTTTCTGCATAGCAAGTGGTAACAAAGTAGTAATGAATTCCACTCTGAGATTGTTCGGGAGAAGAATGAATGTTTATATAAATTAGTTCTTGCGTCAGAGTCAGAGTTTATTCTGAGTTCATCAAAATAAACAGAAGAAATTTAAGCATGCCTGTTTTTTTTTTCATATAGTAGCTCTAATTCGGCCATTTGTAGCATATCTGACGGTGAATTAAGGCCACTTCTCGTTTCACGTTGCCACTTTTCGTCGTTGCTTGAATATTAATCCATTCATGACAGTCGTTACCTTCAGAAACTCAGGTGTTGCAGTGCTAAGTACGTTGAAGAAGGTCCAACTCCTAACGTGGGTGAGTGAAGCAGCAATGCGATAGAAAGAAAGAGAGAAAGAAAGAGAGAGAGAAAAAAGTACTAGTATTTGGAATAACAGGTAGTTGAGCTAGTTTGCAAGAATTCATACTAGAAGATGACATGCAAACACAGACACTAGAAAGAAATGAAGGCACCACAAATGCCGTTTCTGGTGCCTCTGCTGTCTTCTTTCTTGCGTGCCCTCCCTGTCTTTTAGAAAAGTAGTACGTCAGGCACTTAGATGCAGAAGTTCGCTCGAGTTTTTATAATAGAGGTTTTCAGTCATGTTTCATACCATTGCTTATGTGCAGTTCCACTACTCTGTGTAGCAAGGATTGATCACCTTCACCTTTTTTTTTTTTCTCGTATTTTTTTGTTCAGGCATTCTGTAAATGTTTTCCAACCACCCGTGGAGTCCAGCAAGCGTACGCTAGAAGCTGCCACGGCTGCCTGCACCAATGAGGTGGCTGAAGTTAACAACCAGGAGGTTGAGATTCACGTGAGTGGTCACCCGAAATTTCGGTCACTTCTACAACCAAAATGCGACGTTAGGGACGTGGGTGTTAGTTCAGATTTACAGAAAGCTAGCAAATTGGGGCACATTACCTTGGTATATTGAACTTCAATACTGTAGATTCTCACTAAATGGTACCTGGAGGGACCAAGGAAATATGTTTCATTTAACCGGAGGTCCATTTACTGAGAAGTTAAGGGGGTTGCAAAATGCAAGGACAAATTAAATCATATCAGATGCAGTTGTTCCATTTAAACATCACCTCTGTTTAAGAGGTTATTGTTTACCGAGAATCTACCGGGTGTAATGGAATTCTCTTATAAGAAATTATTTCACTCTTCACAACTTCAGTTTCAGTGCTGCCTGGGAAGAAGACGGAGGTGATAAACTGAAACTTCTGCTGGGGGTGGTTATGCGGTTGAGTTGTGCATGTTTTATTTATTTATTTTTTTGCAAGCAGTAGTACTACTGTATTACTTCATAGCATTAGGTCTGCATTTATTTCAGAGTCACGTGCGATATTCCGCCGCTGGTGAACAGCAATTCTTCACTGGCACAGCATCACGCCGCATTCGCTACACCTTAGGTTCAAGAAAAAAGAATTTTTTTTATTATTGAAGTTAGTTTTTATACAGCCATGTTATTCAACCATTCTTCCAGCTCTTCTCGTTCAAAAGGAAAAGCTATTTATGACTGCACCTTGCTCGAAAGGCAGAATTTTAATTTAATGAACTTTTTTTTTACAGGACGAAGTAGATTGCAGATTTTGCTGACTTCATTGCATCGAGTTTTCACTGTATACACTAATGGTTTTATGCACAGATGGAGCTGCTGTATTAGCACCTGCCACTGTTTGTGCCTACTTGCACTTCTTGTGACAGGGCAATGCCTTCCCTCGGCACACGAGCGAGAGAAAGTGGGTTTACCTGCGAGGTTTGGGAGAAAAAGACTGCCGGTCACCGGAGGGAGGCATCGCGTGTGAAACACTGAGTGGACTTTTGTTGAGGGCCGGTTGTAGTCTGCCGCAGCATTCGCGTCAGCCAGTGGTGGCAGAAGTTGGCGACGCCAGGTTCACCGGGTTACGTTGACATGAAAGCTGAGCACATTTCATACTCCCACTCATGCTGTGCCGCATTGCCTCGATGCACGTGCATTTACCCAACTTGTCGCGAAATCAAAACACCTGATTCACGTTATGTAGTGTAGTAGTCATCAGTGAATGTTTTAGTGCCCGTTTTACTGTAAGAGTCATGTTACCAGAACTGTTTCACAAGTAGTCGTGACCTGAACTGCACAGGCCGACTCTGTGAGCCAGGGTGCTGGAGACAGCAGCGGAGCCATGTTCACCGTCACCAGTGTGAGCTCTGAGAACACTGAATGTAAGACAGACTTCGTCCTTGAAGACGAAGGTGAGCATTACGTAACGACTTTCTTGGAAGTGAGCTTGGCGAGTGAGTAAGTGAGGAAATAATCTGATGGAGTGAGTGTATGCTTTTTTTTTTTCTGCTTGCCCTCCAATTAGGGAATGAGCCGTTGGACTTCAGTGGAGTGATCCGCTTGGCGATGGACTGGAAGAATGACCAGCGTCAGGGTAACTACGTGCTCGTCGAGTCCAAAGAAGTGGTAAGCGATCAACTGGGAAGCCTGGGGCCCAAAAACAATCAGTGAACGTTACTTTTACCATGCTTCCACTGCAAGCTAGTTATTCTTAGAGTTTGCAGCAAGCAGGTAGCAATGGTGATATTTTTATTTCTTCCATAAAAAAAGTTTTCAAAAATAGAGGGGACCAGTACAGGCTGGCTGCGCTATTTCAGAGGAGGTCTGCGGGGACATAGAGTTTCCTAAAATTACCCAAAGGGGGGACTCTGGCGCTGCAATCGCTCGGCGACCATGAGAATGATGGGTAGTACACGGATTTGCCTAGTCTTCGTGCTTGGGGGAGGCGCATCGTACCTGTGGCATCGTTTATTGCTGTGTTTCGGTTTTGTTTCGAAGGAAAGAACGAACCCTTTTGAACTTTGTGACCCAATTTGAAAAGATAAGCTTAATAGAATACGGTGGTGAAGCGCAACCGCTGAGCATTTGCCGATTTTTGTTTTGTGAGAAAACAGCTCCAAGCCACTGGAACACGCACAAAGCCAGAAGTACGGAGGTTAGGCAAATCTGTGTACTACCCATCATTCCCATGCTCGCTGAAGCGCCGCGCGTTGCAGCCCCCATAGACACTAGCGCCAGAGTTCCCTCTAGTGTATATTTTGACAACTCTATGGGCGGGGATCCCTTGGGATACCGCAGCCTCAACCGCGCACTGGATGAGCCGGCATTGGTCTTCTGGCTCGGAGGCACGCATGAGGGACTCCCGTGACCTTGGGGTGTTTGTGTTATCTGTGTTGTGATGCGTGCATATCCGCACCATATGTATGACTGTCGCCGAATGTGAGCAATCTTTGCACCTTGCCGCCATCTGTTTGTTGCCTTTGCTTGAGCACTCACCTGCTTGTATAACCTTCCCACGCCCCCTCTTATACAAGCAGATAGGTGCTAAAGCAAAGTCAAGAAAGTGAAAAACGGGAGGTTAAGAGAGATGCCTTCCATTGTTCGCTTTGTCTCCTTGCCTTCAGTACTTCTCTGTTTATGCGGGAAACTCTTTGAAAACGCATTTCGACAACCACACCCAAATAGGCATTTTTATATTATTCTTGTGAGCTGTAGAATGCAACAGCAATTGACGTCCTTTATATTTCAGAGTGTTTACTCTAGCCTTTGCATGTTGCAGGAGTATGCAATGTCCGACGATGACCGCAACATGTCTATTTACGGTGAGTTTGTATCTTTTTCTCTGCATTATCTGTGTTGTATTAAGTGCTACAGCACTGGCACTATGGTGAAGTGTCATGCATTAACATGCATTCATTTGTCTAATGCAAATAGACTAGGGGATCTTCACGTTCGGTGAGCTCAGGTCTCTATTGCATGTTTGTTATGAGTGCTCTCTGTAATGCTAATTAACAAGGTTCATTACGCACAACAAACAGCAAGTATAGCACGTTACATAAAAATTGCGTAAATGTAGTGCTTAACCACTTCTCTGTATAATTGTTGCACTATTCTACGCAAAATGCAAGAAAGCTTTAGCTCATGTGTAACTTGAATGCTCCTGTTCAGTTATAGTACATGTAAAAGTTGAAAGTGTTCTTGTAACATCAGATTCTTGATTTCCTGATTAAACTATTGCGCCTGAGAGACTAACTTAAATTTTTAATAATGTGGGAAGCAAAATCTTCATCCGAGGGCGTCATACATTTCACAATGATTGTCGAAAATTCTTGGGTTATCAAAAAGCAAATAAAGGTAACTGAAGGATAAATTTTAAGAAAATCTGTCACTTTGACCTGAAAACAAACATAGCCGTTCCGCACGCTCCACCTGCTGAGCATTTAATGAAAACAAATTGTCTTCAACAAAAACTAGGGGGCCTTGACCCTCCGTTTACGGAGATCAGCAAGACAAAATCATATGGATACACCCTTTAACACACTCGCACACATGCACACGACACCAGCTGCTGATATGTATATTGGTATATATGTGCATGTACGGAGGCCCTGCAAAACTTTTTCACCCTGGTCAGGAAACGGTGCCGATTGGTAGTCGAGGCTCCTGAGAACATGTGAGCAAAACATGGCAGCATAGCAGGCGGTGGGGAATTCACGGATAATTCTCAAAGTCAGCTGGAAATCTCTCTCTCTTTTCTCAACAAATAATGCCACACACCCTAATGACCACGCCAAAACACAAATCCCATGGTCATTGGCCGATTCGAGCATCGTGAGGTGCGTAGTTACTGGAGCTGCTGTGGGATGTCACCACATGCTCACACGCTCACTTGTGTTCACACTAAAACTAAGCCGGGTGTTTGAACAAAAAAAATGGAGAGAGAGAAAAAGAAAAGGTAAAAAAAAGCGCTCACTGTCATGATGTGCGCTCCGTGTGCTCATAAATGGGTGTAGCTTCTCGCCTAATTACCACAACCTCGACGGGTAGCTTTAAGCGTGGTTGAGGTACGAAAGAAAAAAAGAAGCACTTGTAACGTGCAAAACTCCACTCGCACATGTTGAATTGTAAACATTTTTGTGGCAACCGATTCATGAGGCAATGAACTCCTTTAATAATGAAGTTATTTGGTATTTACTTGGAAAAGAGTTGCAGGGCTCCTTTAAGCACTGGCTTCCGGCTGTCAAGTAACACGTTCGCTATTCATGTTCCGCAGAGGAGGACGGCATCACGCTGGACCAGTGCTTGCGGCTGTTTACGGAGCCTGAGGTGCTGGATCCGCAGGAGGCCTGGTACTGCCCGGGCTGCCGTGAGCACCGCCAGGCCACCAAGGAGTTCTCGCTGTGGCGGCTTCCCGTCGTGCTCGTCATCCAGCTCAAGCGCTTCTCCTTCACCCGCTCCATCTTCCGCGACAAGATCGACAAGATGGTCGACTTCCCCGTCTAGTGAGTGCGCCCCTCCAAGCACTTGAGGTGTTTATGCCAGGCTCGGAATATGAGCAACATCTTTTGAGGAATGTGACATTGAGCCTGTGCAATAAGATGTGCAATAAAACAGTGCAATAAGATGACGAGAAAGGCTAAACATCAGCAGTGCTATCAACAGGCTCATTTATTGTTGCTGCTCTAATATATCCTTCTTTCTTTCTGCTTTCTACAATGCATATGCTATACTTGTGCAACAAAAATAAGCGCACTTGTTGGTAGTCAGTGCTGGTGCTGTTTGGTCTTGTCATCATCTTAATGCATCGATTATTATTATGATTATTGGGATTATCAGTGTTATGATTTTAGGGGAGCATACGGTCATGGAGTTTCGTAAGATATTTACTCGAGGGAGCTGTGGCTCTGCAATCGCTCGGCCGTCATGTGAATGATGTATTTGCCTACTCTTCACGCTCGCGGCCTCGAACCCGCTTGTGACTTTGCTCATTGTTCCGTCTTGGCTTTCGTTTTGGAACCTTGTGACCCGATTTGAATCGGTTATCCTTAAAGGGTCAGGGTCGTCAAAGTGGTACTGCCAAGTTTTCGCTGAATCTCATCTTGCGACAATGTTGCTGCACAGCAGGTGGAGCCACTCGGAGCGTAGAGGGTGAAGCTTAGGCAAATCCATGTAATATCCATCATTTCTGTACAGGTGAACCGCTTTGCATCGTTGCTCCCATAGGCTATACGTAGTACCAGATTTTTCTCTAGTGTATTACAGTAAAAGCTTGTTAATTTGATGCTAGTGAATCTGAAAAATTGAATAATTCGGATGAATTGTTTAGTGGCGGCTAGCATATGCATTGTTTGATGATGTCAGCCTCTCTTTGTTTCGGTCGTATCTGGTCGTAATCCCAATAATTCAAACAGTCCCAGCAGTTCACTGAGCTCCAAGTGCCACGTATGTGCGGCACAAGAGAGCAAAAAAGGCGTTATGCGGCCAACCGAAACGAGTCAGTGCAGTCCGCAGTGCCGTCGTCATCATCCCCAACTACACGGTAATGACAGGAATGCCAGAACCCTTCACGCCTATTTGCATTCACCACCAGGACGTATGACACTTCGTTAGCCGCGAGTGTTCGAAAAGGTGCAGTCGCCATCCACAGTTGCGCTCTTGGCGAGCGAACCTTGAGCAGCTGTGGCAAATGTGTTGTTTGCTGGAGAAAAATAGTATCGTCGCATAGTGGTAGTAGTATGTAATAAGGAAGGGATGCAGAGCACGTTGTGGGCTAATTAATACACAAGGGTCTTGCACCGCGGTACCGTTGTGAACAAGGTCACAGGACGACGAAAACTGTGTCTTTTTCACTTTATGCAAAAACACAGCGTCCACGTACTCACCTGGAACGCTAAAACTATGTTTATATTATTGTAATTTGTTTATCGTTTTCTTGGTGCTTTTAATCATAAGTAATTTGAACATTTTTTTCTGGTCTCACTAAATCCAAATTAACGAGCTTTGACCCTGATGTGAAACTCTGGGCATATGGTTTTTTGTTCGCTAGCGCTGCGGCAATGCGTGGCACATTCGCCCGTTCAGAATTGTGTGCCCCGAAAACGTTTGGCCCATTTTTTCTAGAAACGGGCAACAGTTTGGAGCATGCCAAGGTGCTCTTACCACCCAACCTCGGAACTCGACCCACACCTGATCGCACAGCTCGAGCAGCCCTTATTGTTGTGTGACGTGAGCTGCGGCTGCATGGTTGCTGGCTGGTCAATAAGCGACAGCACACAGGCACTGGATGCACGGGTGTGCAGCCTGAAAACAAACAATAACGTGCAGCCATTTCAGCTGGTGAGGCGTGGTCACTGCGAGAAATAAACAAGCACATGCGTCATCATTATTACTGTTATAGTCGCGTATTTCTTAGTTGCAACCACATGTCCGCCGCAGTGGCACAGTGCAGCTGCTGACCTGAAGGTCACTCATGTGGTCCCATCCACAGTGGTTGCGTTTTGATTGAGGTGAAATGCTAAAGGCATTTCACCTCAATGTCAGCGCACGTGAGAGAACACCGGATGGCTGAAATTTATGCAGCCCCACTCTGTGGCGTGCCCCAATATAGTGTTGTGGTATTGGTGCATAGAACTGCTAATATTTTTTAATGCAACCTTTTAGGGCATTATCTGAGTTAATATTGCACTCAAACCTCATAACACCCACATCTTCCATGAAAATACGTAGTTATAGTATTTAATAGTTTGTTACAAACAGTCATTTGTAACACTGATTGGTCACTTCTGTCATTATAGCTGATAATTCGTGGCATCCGAATTAGTTATATCGAGGTTTGATTGTATTTGGAAGTCTGTACTTTCAGACAGCCTGAGTGGCTTCAACTGTTCCAAGCTGTCTTGCATCGCTAACTTCGCCGAATCGTTGCTTCTCCTCCTTAGTGGCCTCGACATGAGCCCTTACTACTGCGGCCCGGGCACCAGCCACGGGCAACCTCCCATATATGACCTTTTCGCCGTCACCAACCATCACGGCGGCATGCTGGGCGGCCACTACACCGCGTTTGCACGCTGCACCAACCCCGTCGACACGCGTCTGAGCGAGATCGGTGAGCATTTTATCTGGGCATGGGCGAACATTCTAGCATTTCAATTGTTGAAACGAACAGGGTAGACTCTCACTGTGCAGGACCTGAATGGACTAATCTGAATCCGTGTACTACAATGTGCCTCATAGTTATGTATCGTGCAGTTCTGGCTCATAAAACTGCATATACAGTGAAATCTCGATACAACGAATCTCAAAGGACCGCTAAAAATTATTTGTTATTTTGAAAAGTCATTGCAGCTAAAGTATTAAAAATTTGTGCGAAAATCGCAAACATGAACACGGAAGTCACCTACCTGTTATGTGTATACATTTGTGATCGTATTATGCTCAAATAAGGGAGAAAAAGCAAACACGATATATTACGGCACCAGTGTGCATTTATTTGAGGAAGAGCACGACCTATCCAGATGTGGGCTGCTTGAATTCTGAAATACGAACTTTTAGGTGTGGGCATCCTTCTTACACACTGCAAAGCACCTTCTTATGCACTGCAAAGCACTGCAGTGCATGTACCGCAAAGCACTTTGGTTCCTGCACAGGTAAAGCTGCCTAACGAAAGCAAAGCCTACGGGGCAAAAAACAAATACCAGGCGATAACGATGGCGATAGGGCTTATGCACATTTGGGTAGGGTGGACAGATAAAGAAAGATGGGGGCATTTTGATGATGATGATAGTGGCAGGTGTGGAGCTGAGCATTATTTTTACAGCCGCAAATAACTTTTTAAAATCGCTATCCCTTATTTTGAAGTGTTGTGCAGATATAAGGGGAATAAAATTGTGTACATTACTCTATTTACTCGCATAATCCTCGCACTTTTTCTAGAGGAAAAGCGACGCAAAGTTGGGGTTGCGAGAATTACGCGGGGAAAACTTTCCACCAATAAGTACAGAGAGAAGAAGAAAACGAATAGGCCGCAAATCGGGATTTTTACACTAGCAACTAACAGCAACCTTTGAGAAGTACTCATTAAAACTTACCTCAACAATAAAAGCACAGGTTCAACACAAGGCAAGATTTATTTGAGACACAAAAAGTGCAAGCAAGTAGTCGAGAATTAGAATGCCATACGCAAAGCTTGTGGGCGTTGCGGGCGTAACGGTAGCGTTCATCGCTCAACAGGAGCCCTCAAAAGGTAAGCATAGGACGTCAGTATTGGGCTCATGGCTGTCTAACAGAATCGTCTGCAGTTTCCCTTCTGAAGAAATAATGTTTACCTTCAATCTCAGTTTTAGGCACACGGCAGGCCCCCGGCGTCTTGGTGGCTTTCAGCTGCCGTCACCAGTTTCAAACACAAAACTCGTAGACTCCGGAGAGCCCAGCGGCGGCCCTGTTGCTGTTTAGTGCATGATCTATCACTTTCAACTTGAAAGCAACCGTGTAGTTTCAAGTATTGCCCCATAACGTGACGAGATTACCGACACAATCTACAAAACACCCCGCAACGCGCACTTGCCACTTTGGCTTGGCTTGGATTGGATTGAATCTCGGTGCAATAATAGTACGCTTGATGCTTAAGAGATGGCACGCGCTATCATCATCAATGGCTGGAACGAGGAGACGACATTATTGCAGCAGTTTTCGGGGGTGCGATAATTACTCGAGAAAAAAAAAGAAATCGTATACAGTCGACTCCCGTTAATACGAAGTTCACGGGAACCGCCAAAAACTTCGAATTAAACGAACTTTGAATTAAGCAAAAAGCACTAAAAATGGCACTTTTATTTGTTTAAAAGCGCGACAGTTTTGAGGAAAAATAGTCTGTCATCTTCTTCTTCTTCTAAAGGCGTAAGCCACCCATCCAAAGCAGCGAAGTCGTTGATGCCCAACATTTCAGCAAGCGATGACGCTTTTGCCATGACGACTTCATCACTGAGAGGAAGTTTGTTTCGTGCCTCTCTGATCCAAATCAGCAGTGCTTCCTCCAACTCGGGGTAGGCGCCGGTGCGCATCCGCTTCCGCGATGTCTTGAATTTCTCACTTTCAAACGCATCCAATATTGAGCGCTTATTCTTTATGAAAGTCGACAGCGTGTTAGACTTAATGCCGTACTTTCTTGCAATGTCTTGTTTGGCGGTGCCTCCCTGGTCAACTTCCTTCAAGACTTCGACTTTCGTCGCTAGGTCTAGCGTTCGGTAAGGGCCACGAGTTGCCATTATCAAATGTACGTCACCACCACAACACTTAAAATCAGAAGCGCGGAAACACGTGTGGAATCAACCCAGCGCGCGGGTGACGCGGTGACACACTCGAGTCTCGACAAAGGTCAACTAAAGAGTCAGTCGATGCCGCCGATGCGATTCGCCAGCGTTAAAAAGATTGCCGCTTCAAGATCTGTGGCGCTGCGGACAGTAGTGATGGGGAAGACACCAGCGCGGTCCGGCAGATGTTTTGGCATATGAAAAGTTCCCCATTTTACTGTAAAATTACGGTCGCGACGAGACTGTCGATTGAGAAAACTTCTAATTAACCAATATTATGGGTTTTTAACTTTGAATTATCGAGCATTTTTTTCTATACGACTGCATGCAAAACTGATGGGACCACTTGCTCATTTCTAATTAACCGAAACTTCCAATTAAGCGACTTCGAATTACCGGGAGTCGACTGTACTTGTTGGGCGATGTGGGGGGTGCGAGAATTACGCGAGTGTGGGGATTACGCGAGTAAATACGGTATTCTGAAATATTCGCTATTCTGAAATTCGTAGTAGCGAAATATTTTTACGTTAAATCTATGGACATTTGGAGGCAGATTTTTGAAAGAGTCGTTAATCTAAAAAAATCGTAATCTGAGGTTAGCTCTAACGAGATTTAATTATCTGTAGTAATATTTTGATTTATATTATAAATACTGTCATCATCCCAAATTTCTCTTAGAGTTTCTTAATGCAGGCTCATTGCTAGGACTTCACTGAACATTTCATTGAGTTTTCAGAGAAAGCAAATTCTGCTAGCTAACGAGCTCACTCACGAAGACACCTTTTTTCCTGTCTTCCAACAGGCTGGCGGCTGTTTGACGACAGCCACGTTGCCGATGTTTCGGACACGCGGGTCGTGACAGCGTCGGCGTACATGCTGTTCTACCGGCGCCGGGGCGTCCCCTTCGACCTGCCCGCCGTGGTACCCCGACCCCTGCCCTCTGCGTCGAGGCTTGTCCCCGTTCAGTCGCAGAAGCTCGTTAAGGACCAGGAGAACTTGTTGGGCCAGGAGTTGGCCTCCCTCAAAGACAGCAACAACAACAGGCGCGTCTGCGACTTATCAGAAGACTCTGATGACGACTACATGAACAGCCCCGACTGATGGATGCGGCTCGGAACTCTAGTGGCCACGGCGCTTTAGGTGGTTTTGAAATTCTTGCCTCCTTGCGAGGCCTGGTTTTATTTGTGTCCCCCCCCCCTCCCTCCCGAAAGCAGCTGCTTTCTACCCGCTCGTTTTTCCGGTTAGAAATCTACAAAAAGCCATGGTGAGCCTTGACATGCTGTGAGCACGGCATTGTGGAAGTTGTCTACAGCTGTCCACAATCGGCACTCTTGGGCGTCAAAAGTCTGTGAATTGGAGGTTTAGTTGGAATTTTTCTTGCTAGTTTTCCCAAGCAGAGCGTGGTGTCACGAAGATGATTATAGATCCCAGTTTTATGTAAGAACCTTGGAGATGTTACTGGCACGATCGTGTTGGGTGTAGCACAGCGCCCATAGGTTGCCATAAATATAAAATTTGGCATAAATTTGTGTCGGAGAAACCATTGTTGTCCCTTAGACGTTCATTGATGAAGTGCGGTAATTGTCAACATCCAAATTTTCGCCGACAATGTGGCAAAATATTGTTACAAGCGAAAATATTGGACAGACCACATCAAGAATTTGGCACAGTGCTAAAACTTGTCTGTAGTTTTGTCGATAAGTTCACGTAGGCAAGGATCCATTTTTTTTTTTATTTGCATCACCGACTCAAGACGGCATGACACCATGGCTGCGGAATAGACTGCTTGTGGGATTTCATATATTCTTCCTATTATAGACTGTTTGAATTGCTGCCTTTTTTCTTTTTCTTGCAAGGCATTTCTAATTAGGTAATGAGCTGCATGCATGTGTTCCTTCCATTTATGCAACCATCTCACCACCTGCCACCACAATTCTTGGAAGGACAGGTCAGGCTCTTGTTAATTTATTTATAATAATTAGCCTAAACTCATCATGCTTGATTTTATGCTTCCAAGCGATCTCGCTTTATTGTATGGTTTCCGAGTGGTAAAGATGCGCACAGCGGTGAAACGCTATATGTGTCGGAGGTGTAATTGCGCTGCACTGTCGTCCTTGAATTCAAGAGCCTCTGCATCCACAGTTTTTCATGTCAATAATTTTTGTTGAATTAATCGTCATTGTACCCCAGGCATGGCTTTCTATCACACAAAGGCGGCTTTTGCCACTATGCACCGAATGAGTGTTATAATGGTTGCTATAATGACTGTGTCAAGAAACTAATCTTAAAAAATACTTATTTGGTCAGATGACATTTGAGGATTGCTCATTGAAATTGGTTAGCAACTTGCAGTACACAGTTTTGCATCACATCAACTAAAAAAAAAAATCAATGTCTTATATGTTGTTTTGTTATTTTGTTTTCATAAGAGCAATAAAGAAGAGATAATGCTCATTCAGTATTCTTTTTTTTTAATAGAAAAGTTTAGTGTAATCAATGTTTCAGTATTGATGAGGAAGAAGAGTCTTCCTTAGCCAGACAAAATATTTTGTACTATTTTCTCTGCCCACTCGTTGTTGCCAGTGTCGCTGTTGTAGTGATGTTGTTTTCAGTGGAGTGTAAATGTTCCCATTTATTCAAGTCTGTTTTGTGCGTCCTTAGTTTTTAAAGCACAAGCGCTTCTACCACTTTGCTGTGTTCTCCAAAAAACAAATAGTAGTGTTGATAACTCCTGGCGTTAGTGGTTGCATGTTGATGGTGGCAAAATGCTGGTCAACCATCTGTTGTGTGATTTCAGTGCTCTGAAGAAAGCCGTGGGGAGGGGTGGTGGAAATTATCCGGAGCCCTCCACTACAATGCCTTTTACACACCGAGCTTGTTTAGGAGATTAAAACCCCATAAACAAAACAAACGTTACAGTATATCGATAACGCTGGCACTGTATCTCCATCTGAACACATTTGGTGTTACGATTTCGCGTATATAATAAATACTGAGATAGCCCGACAAGTATAACACCACAGGAATGTAGGCCTAGCCAGCGAGGACCTCTCGGGCTTAGTGCTGACGATGTGACTGCTGAGCTTTGCATGACCCACTACTAGTACTTCATTACACATAGTAAAAAAAAATATAGAAGTCCTCACGGATCTGATGACTTATTAATTTCAAATGTGATCTGTTTAACAGTGAAGAAAAACCAGAAAACTCGCCAAGTGGTTATGCGCCACAGTAATTGCGCATGCTCGCTACAACGCACAGCAGGTGCAAGTGTCAACAGAAAGTGAACCCTTGACAAACTGAGATGGCAAGAAAGATTGAAATACAGAGAAACACATAGGGAGAGAGAGGAAGATATAGAAAAAGAAACGTATGGAGAAAACAGAAATTAAGGTGCAGAGAGAGAGGAAGAAGGAGCAGAAAGTGAAAGAAAAAAAAAATCAACAGAAATAGAGAAATAAAAAGAAACATACAAAAATGTGCAGTGTAGAGAGAAAGAAGAAAAAAAAGATGGAAGGCCACGCAGCTGCACTCTTGCTTCAGGCTTGACAATAATGTGAAGCTGTCATAATATTTCTCTTTATTTATTCTGGCACATAGTTGAACCTCCTTGTAACAGCTATAGAAATGAAGAATTGCCTGTTATATAGTGAAGTAGATGAACAATAGTGTTGCCATTGATACAATGTTACAGATATACATTCGTAACGAGGTTTTTAAATGTAACTATGCTCTTTCTGTGTGAGACGCAACTTCGCTATGACGAAGTTGTGAGTGTAGATGGGGGCAAAGCTGTCGATGGTCATCTCCTTGTGATGCTACGGGTGTTTCTTTTTGGGCTAAAAACTTCAGCTCTCCTGTGTTTTGTTTTTTTAAACGCAGAGCATTTTATAGTCGTACCTACTTGCGATTCCGGCATCGGTGGTGTCGTCTACACGCCCACTGCGAATGCTCGCGTCATGCCGTCTTGTGCCACATGCTCGTGTCTCATGCCATCTGTCGCTCTCCCCCTCCTTCCTCTCTCTCTCGCTTCGCAAGGCCGACACAGGCAGCGTCTGCTAGTAAAAACAGACTGTTTGCGCTGCACAACGGTTCACTGTCCAACGCGCATATGTAGGCACTGGATCACACATTTTAATACAGTCATGGGAGTCTCTACTTGGCTTTCACATGACTTGACGCTTTGCTTAACTCCAGTAGATGGGATGGAAGTAACAGCACTTTTAACCAGTAGTGCGGCACAATCCAACATCAGTGCCCAACGCTCGTTGAAGGCAATGCTTCCCCTTGAGTCAATAAATAAGAACAATAAAAACGAATAACAACTAAGCATTCCCAAACTATACCCAATTATGCAACACTCGTATGATACCCCCACCACTCTGTGACGCATTTACTTGAGTTCCTCTAGTAAAAAGATGGAGGTGGCTTTTTTTTTTTTTTCAAGAGAGACACTTTCAGGTGCTTGTTCCACTGTAGAGCTTTGATGTGCTTCATTAATCATAACCGATGTAACAGATGCATCAACGGAAAAGTATGGAGAAGATGGCGAAACGAATAGGGTGAAATTGAATTGCTGCGCAGGACTTTAGATTCAGAAAGGGCGGCAATAGCGTGACGAGAAAAACAGAGGGCCACATGCGGCTACAATATGGTGCCCGAGTAATGTGCATTGTGTAGGCAGCAGCTGCTGTGAATCGCACTCATTCTCTGGCTCTTGTAATCATTATATTAGCGAGGCATTCCCACCGCACTCGAGTTCGAGTCTTACACTTTGCTAGGCCCATTCGCAACATGTTGTAAGAGGCTAATTGTTCACATCAGCCAATACGATTTCAGGATTAAAAATAAGTACAGAGCTGTGCTCAAATTTTCTATTAGGAAGTATCGTAACCGTTGGCGAATGTTTTGTTTCATGTTATGGGTTTTTGTACAGGCACATTAGCGAAGTATTCTGAGCAAATATGAACTTGTAGTACATGCTTATCGCAAATGGAGTGATTGACACTGAATTCATACCTTGCTGTTTTGAAAGCCAGCAGGCACACTGTGACCTTAACATAGGCGGTGGACGGAGTTTCAGAAGATGGCTGCTTGGCTAGGTGCAATGGGAGTTGCGTTGTTTTTTTGTAAAAGGCACAGACAATGTTTACTGTTGTTGCCCGCCTGTGTTCAAACTTGGTACTGGTACTTTTTTCTTTGGGCGCACGTCTCGGTTTGTGAAGAAGGCTCGTATTGCTAGATGAGTTAAAATAGCCGAATCGTTGCACTCTCTTTAGGGTGATTTCTAGTATGGCTGCAAATGTACGTTGTGAACTGTATCGATTTATTGAGCCCTGCTCTAAATTGTCTTGCATGAAAGTTAAATTTATTTCGTTCTAGAGTAGACGTGCTAGTGGTAAAGCTACGTTTGATGATTCTCATAGTTGGCGATGCATTGTTTCTGCGATAGTTGTCCTTGTTGAGGTTTACCTATGCTAGTTTTAGCAGGCTGTGAGATTTGAAGTCTAAAGCTGTCGCGCTGCGCTTGATATACCAAAGCGTTGCGTTGGCAGGAACCTCTAAGCTCTTTCCCTTTTGCAAACTTATTTACCAAGTGCTTGTAATTAGTGAATTGAAATGACATACAACACTGCCTCGTCTCTGACCTCTAGTGTACAATAGGCAGGATGGTTAGCAATGTTGGACTTGTAAAGTCTGGACTTCTCGTGGGGAAATTGCTGTGTTTGTTGGCAGCTAGGCAATGCATTTATACAAAGTCCTTTTCAATTAAATGTGTTTATTTGAAATATTTTTTGTAGGAAAAGCTTGGTTTCTTTGATAACTGTAGCAGGCTGGTTGCTGTGTTTGACATGCTTTAGTCTCTGGTGGTGGTGTTCTGCAAGCCACTTATAAAAGGTAGCAATTAGTTATACGCAAGAATGTTTCGAAAGCTAGGTGAGTTGATGATTCGTATTTTCGTTGATGATTTGTACTTGGCAAAATACACTTCAATCTTATTATAACGAAGTCACACTTGCCACGAAAATGCTTAGTTATATTTTGAAATTATGTTATAACATAATCGTGGAACTGTGTCTATGACAGAGCTACTTTTCATTTACTTCGTTATAAGCAACAATTCGTTACATGGACGTATTTCCACCTCTGCGAGTGGCATCCCGAGTATGCACTGACACCACATAGGCAGCGAAGCGGCTATGTAATTTTCTTACATTTTTGTTGTCTTTAGTCAGGAGTAAATCTTTTAGAACATGACAGTTGAAGCCAACAGACTTCATTGTAATTGAGGTTTATTTGGCACAAAAGTATCCTTTATGAGCAATCGTATTTACTATTTCTGCCTTTACACAATGAAAGGGATTCGCAAGTTTTAGTTTCAAATTGCCGAATAAGGTTATCTGTTGCACGTAATGACATCTGTGGTATCAACTTTATCCGTCATTCAGGCATAACATGGCTAGCAGTTCTGTGATTGCCCAGCAGTTTTCGTAGCGCTGTATTCAAAAGTTTATTTCTTTCCAGTGTACTCCTAGGCATATCTTGTAGAAACGGCTTGTAAGGTTCGCAAAACAAATTACCAATGCCACCATGATGTTATATCGTTATGCAAAATACCGTTCGACAGGGTGTCAAACAAGGAAGCTTTGAAATCCTGCAAGTTTACAGGATGGTAAAAGGATTTAAAGATTATTTTTTGGCGGCCACGTTGGCATGAAGATTGCAGTGTTTCCGTACTTGTGTATTTGTGACAACAAGTTTTTTCTGGCTTTGATCACAATTGCACACATTCTTTATGTACGTAAGAGGACTGTCCTCTTGAAACAATAATTGAGCAACAACACAACATGCTTGTGGCGCCAGCCTGAAGAGTTAGCATTATGCAATGTTTCAATAGCAGCAGAAGCATCACATTCTTTTGTTGATTTCAGCTCAATTTTAATAAGCTGCTGCGTTCGATCACGTGTCACAGTGAAGCAATTTCAGTTGCAATTGAGTCCTACCAGGATTCGAGTTTTTTTTAGCCTCTATTGGTTTGTGTAAAATGCCAAACAGAGCAAATCACAATCAGTTTCGATTTCAACACGACCTCTCTTGCAATTGAAGGTGCCCATACGACACGCATATTAGGTTCTTTTTTTAAGACTACAATGTTGTAATATTTGATTTTGCACGGCTTGCCACCTAACCAACTTTAATAAAAATGCATTGATAATAATCAACTTGTTTGTTGCCAACTGCGAGCTGTACTTCCATTTAACCTTTTTGCGATGGATTCGATGCGGATGTACTGTTTTTTCTTGGTTTTTCCTACGTTCGTATTTTGACAACAGTATTGTCTTTTTACAACAACCGTGTTGGTTCTTTGCCTTGTGAGTGTGGACTAGTGTCGGAGCTGTGAGCAATATTGAGTCTCCCAAGCCTGCCTTGTACCAAAGCTGTATATATTTTTACCCCAGTGGTGAAACCTGTTGTTTTCTCAATAAAATACAGTGTGCAAACATTGTACTGGATTGTATCCAGTGAACCATTTGCTAAACAAAACTGTTTACTGCAGTGCCAATTTTTTGGGCGTGTTGGTAAATGGAACCCGACGACATATTGAGCACTAACAGACAGGAACATGATAGAGACTACAACGCTGCATTGTATTGTCTATTGTGTTGACTATTTACTGCATAGACTAATGTAAGCAAGTGTGTAGTGAGAATTTTCTTTGTTGGGGGAGGAGTGATAACCACCTTTTGTGTGTGCTGGTGTGTGCATTTGTACATGCACACACATCTATGCAAAACTGAAAAATTTTAGGGGGGAGGTGTTCAACACTTCACCCCATATGACCATGCTAGTGTGCTTCTGAATAAGCGCTTGCAGCACTTTCAGTTTTGACGTGCTTTACACCCTTTCAGTCCCGAGTGCACGCTTACTTTATCTGTTGCAAACACGCATATATTGATTCTTTTTGGTTATTTTACTGTACAATCCTAAATAATTGCCGTAGTTGAACATGGTTAAACTAACTTTGTTTAGTGATAATCCTGTTTTGCTTGTTTCCAGAAAAGACGAGACCGTTGGATGGCAAGATTTAACCATATTGAGGTGGACACCTTAGATGCCTGATCGAACATTAAGCAATGCAGAAAAAGTAAATCGATGACGTCAGCATAACATTACAGATTTTCTTAAATGTGTGATGTCATTGATGACATCATCCAGTGACGTATCATATGGCACAGTCTATTTAAAATCCATGACATCACTATCAGAGATTGTGGCGGGAACTGGAACTTGACATTGATTAACCCATTAATAAACCTATAGTTTCGTGGCTGACCCCCCGTGGTGGGCTGAGCCATTCTTCCAGGAAGCATCATCATCATCATAACTTATCAGAATAAGCTAGTCCGTTCATTTCCTTGAGTGTCTCTTGGAAAGGTCATGGACCATCCGACAATCAGTGGTTCTCTGCGAAAAATAGAAGTAGAGAGCTTATTATACCTACACATGTATCAAAAGTCGACTGTAAAAAAATGTTTCAGGGCATAAGTGTGCACTGAGTTGCCCTTCGTGGGGGGGGGGGGGGGGGGGCATTTTAGCGCTCCGCTTTTTATTAAGTCGTCGTATGGGGCAGCCTTCACGCCCCCCCCCCCCCCCCCCCCCGAGCACGCCTATGTTTCAGGGTAAAACAAGCTTTAAAAGCCACCCCTAATACCATCATCTGCCGGTTTCCGCCATTTTGCCATAGCGTATGTGACGTCACGTTCTGCGCATGAAGCAAAGCCGTCGTTGTCTATCAAAGTTCCATCCGCTGCAAATCGTTCAAGTTCAGCGCCAAGTTGGAGAAAGCTAACATATCTCGATTTGTCACGCAACTGACCCCGAAACGATATCGTTCGCAGCAATGCAGAGGTATGGTGGCCAGAAGGGGCCCATACATAGCAGAGACTCGCACTACTTCT